TTAGCTGCTCTCTACTTTGTTGGAGGAGTGCGCGTCACTTATAGTACAGGTATCGCAGCAGGTGGTAACCTGGCTTACTGGTAGGCTTTACCACCGCCCATGCAATGAATCGTGTCTCATTTGGTGTAGGACGAGTTATCTAGTCACTTTGGTTTTCACATATATTACCGCTGCTGTCATCGCGGAGGTATGCTCTGCCTCGCCCTCCGCGGGCTCTATCTACTTGTGGGCCGCGGAGTCCGGAGGTCCTCGCTTTGGAAGGCTACTCGGATTTGTGGTTGCTTGGTGGAGTACTACGGCCTGGACGACCTTCTGTGCTAGCAACACCCAATCTGCTGTCAACTACATGCTCTCGGTGAGTGTCACTCTCACGGATATTTCAAGATAGTTTACTTATCAGCGCCACAGGAATTGACGGTGTTCGACGTCGACTTCCCGAAAGACACATCCAGTGTCAAGTTCCGTGCTGTCCAGTGGATCTGCACGGAAGTGTTGCTAGCATTGGCGGCACTTCTTAACTACCTGCCGCGTATGTTCAATCCCAAGACTGCTTGCGCCTATCCTTTCTCTGTTCATTTGCTTATAGTCCTAAAGCTAGGTTCTTCAAATGGGTGTTCTACTTCTCGTCCTTCATCGTCATGCTGGACTTTTTTCTTAATGTCATCTGGCTGCCGATTGGTGCCGCCAACACATGGGGTTTCCGCACGGCTGAAGAGGCATTCATGTCCACCTACAACGCCACAGGTGCCCCTGCAGGCTGGAACTGGTGTCTTTCCTACCTCGCCACTGCCGGTATCCTGATCGGTTTCGACGCCTCTGGTCACGTTGCAGAAGAGACCAAGCATGCTTCGGTGACGGCAGCACGTGGTATCTTCTGGAGTACTGTCGTCAGCGGCATTGGTGGTCTAGCAACTATCATTCTGTTCCTTTTCTGTGCAGTAAGTTCCCCACTTCCATGCAACGATGATCCAACAACCGAATACTGACATGACCAGCCCGACAACGACACTCTCATGTCCTTCGGCTCCCCCCAGCCATTCGTGCCCCTCTACGCCGTCGTCCTTGGGAAAGGAGGCCACGTCTTCATGAACGTCATCTGCATAGTTGCATTGTGGCTCGTAAGTCCAACCCCCCAACAGCTCCCTCAACCACATATTCACATACTAAACCACTTTACAGAACACAGCGATCGCCATCGTCGCCGCCTCCCGCCTCGTCTTCGCTGTCGCCCGCGACGGTGTCCTCCCCTTCTCCAGCTGGGTCTCCAAAGTCCACAACGGCCAGCCCCGCAACGCCGTCATCGTAGTCTGGGGTGTCTCAGCACTCATCAGCTGCACGCTGCTACCCTCCGACGTCGCCTTCACATCTCTCGTCTCCGCCGCCGGTGTCCCTAGCGCCGCCGCATACGGGCTCATCTGCCTCGGCCGACTCCTCTGCACCCCAAAACGCTTCCCCAAGCCCGAGTGGAGTCTCGGTCGCTGGAGCAAGCCGTTCCAGTTCATCGGTGTCTTCTGGAACGGCTGGGTGGTAGCTGTGCTATTCTCTCCTTACGAGTTCCCCGTCACAGGAGCTAATCTAAACTGTAAGAACCCATCCCCTTCCAATTTACTTCATTCTAAAACATCTTCTTACTTACTCTCTCCCTAACCAGACGCCCCAATAATCATGGCCGGTGTGACCATCTTCGCTCTAATCTCCTACTTCGTCACCCCCGAAAGCGCCTGGTTGCCTATTGACCGCATCTCGCATTTCATCGATAGCAAGGGTGCTGCAACCGAAACCGTCGAGGAAGTTGGTAGTGGCGATAATCATCATCATCATCATCATCATCATCAACAACAGCCTGAGGCGACGACGTCTTCCTCCGGGAGGGAGGAGAACTGAGTGCAATATCGCGTGGCGCACGCCGCAGTAATTTATATGTTGTATTATACGATTGGTGGTTGTGGTGATGCTAGTTTTGCGTTGAATGGTTGAGATGGTCGTTGACTGATCGCTCGGGGGGACAGAAGGCAGGAAAGACTGGACTGCTTGCACCCTCCCCCCACCCTCTCTGTTATGTTTGAGTGGAAAAAGTTTGCTTTGTAGATATGATAGAGCCTAGAAGGGTTTAGGTATACCCAGAAATTTAATGTGATTTGCTTTAGTTACAGATGGATGCATACAGATAGACTCATGGTGGGATCAGATACTAGATTTTTGTTCTATTTCAGGCAGTGTAAGAAGCAGATAACTCTCCCGGGTGCCAAGGTGTAACTCTATATATGACTTTCAGTAAGCCTTGTCTGTACCTGTACAACAGTGATCCAACTCCTCCAGTAGAATAAAAACAGCACAAATCCGTCACCCAAACAGCACATATAATCAGACGATTTGCAGAAAATATTTCCTCACGCTCCGCAAATCCAAGTCTAAGGGTCCAGCCCAGCCGAACACCTTAGTTTCCCAAATAGTAACGCCAGTATTACACCAATACGTAGACTCCGTGTTTTCCCCGTTCCATGTAACTTATGTCCATTATAAATCGTCAAATACCATGTAAAGATGGCTCAGGGCGGTCGTTAATCGCAGAGAACGTCATCAGCGAGCCACGAAGCCGCTTTGTTCAAGGGAGTAGGATTGAGGAGCGTATATCATCCATAGTGTCAATCCAACCTTCTGGGAAAGCTCGCTGCTTGAACCAGGCTTGTTCCAGTTCCTCGAGGGCCTTATCAACATTCTGCAGTCGTATTAGCATTTGTTTGATCATTACTGACGTGTATCCTTGACATACCTTGAACCCGAACCGCTGGAGATCAGTCATGGTCTGCCGCACAAATTTCTGCTCGCTCTCGTTCCGTGACTCTCGGCCAGCTGTAAAGAGTGGCCATAGTACCGCCAACTGACCCACGTCCTTTGCGAGCTTTCCAATCAACGCCAAGATTCGCGTAGCAAGCATGTCTAACAGCGCCCTTTGGGGCTGTATATCAGGACGGCCTGCTGCTCCAACCCGATGTAGGAAAATGTTGGTGGCCTTTTCATATGCTTCGATACACCCGGCATACTCAAGGACATCGGGGTATGGATATTGTCGCAAGCTCTCATCGTCTAGTTCGCCTAACATCTGCAGTGCCTGTGGTGCGTTTAGACGCCATTGTACCAGCCGCTGTAATAGCTCGTGATAAACCAAGTCTTGTTGTTCGAACGGCATCAGACCATCTTGTTTCGCTTTTCCAAAGGCACTAATGGCTGCCTGAATCTCCATCATAGCAGACCAACATTGGCGCAGTTCAACAAGATGGTGACTATAAGCAGGTTGTTCGGTCGACAGGCTTGGTGTACCCAGATTGTACTCCCAGCCACCTCCGTGTGTTGTCCAATAGCTGCCTTCCACCACGGTTCCCTCACTGGTGGCACAGGCACCCGCAACGTCTAAGTATGAGAGCAGCGATACGAGGAAGGGTCGAAGTGGGTGATTGATTTCAGCGAGGCGCTTGGCTTCTTTGTCCGGGTCGTCATTAGGGGTGAAAAGTATTCGGTAAATTTCTCGGGCTCCTTTAAGATGGATAGCCCAGTTGTGATGTTGAGAATCCATCATCTGATTAATTAGCTTTGTGTGCTCGTTATGCCCAGGTCAACAACAAGGGACTCACCTCGAACAGTGACAGTAAAAGACAGGTGGCGAAATCCGTAAGTCGCACGCTGTGGTTGGGGTCTGTATATCGGGTTCTAAAGGACTTGACAACCTCGCCATAATTGCTCATGGCTTGTTGGAAGTGCTTGTTTCGCTGTTGTCCTTTAGATGTATTGGCAAGGTGCAACGCACCCATGGCTTGCATAGCGCTAGCCATTGACGTTGAGGATCGAGCGAGCTCAGGGAAGAATCTTCGGTAGGGATTTATGTTGTTCGAATTATCATAGATGAGGAGTAGAGTAGAGACCTGGTCGACGAAATGAGTGTAATACCGGCCTTCGACGCAGTCTAGTGACGAGGATAAAAATTCGGCGGGAGAGATGGGGTCTTGGAAGCGATATTTTATAGGCTTCAGGTCGGACACAGTTGTTGGAGACACAACTAATGTTTCGAAAGGCTCATTCTCGTCTCCTGCCGGCTCCTGCTTCACTTGCTTGTCCCCTTCGCTCTTGATCTTTTTGTCGCATTTCTTGGCGGTGGCGGGAGACGAATCCGCTTGCGGCGGTCCGTAGACTTTGAAGGTCATACGACCCTGAGTGCCATCGCATTCAAGACCCAGGCGTGTACAGTTTTTGCAGGACGGCGATGCTTCGTCGCAGCGGACGTGGCGTCGACGACATGTCGAACAGCCTGTAAATCCTCGGTGATGCCATCGACGGACCCGCTTTCTTTTCTCAGGCGCTGCGGCTGCGGAAAGCTGGGGTTGTGCGGGGGGAAGAGGCTTCCCCGGCGCACAAACCAACGTATGAACTTCCATGTGTAGGAGATAATGCTAGATACGAGAAGATGGTGTGGGGTAGCGACATGAAGGTGAATGAGGGGCGGATTGTGTCCGACCAGAGAAAATCGAGGTCAGACGGCGGACGTCGACAGTTAAACCATTTAGGAGAGACCAATAGTGCGTCAAAAGGAAGTCCCTGAAATCAGAAAATCACTAAAAAGTGAAATAATGGGCGACGGGACAATCCAATGGAAGTCACCAGGGTGAGTGAGGACTTGAAAAGGAAGCCGAAGCACTGGCGATTAGTAGCCGTAGTAAGTAAGAAGGTAGTTAACTAGTAGTTAAACGGAGAAGTAGTGGTGACCACTAGTTACGTTAGTAGATGATGATCGGATTATTAAGTATGGGGGGGCAAATTGAGGGAGAACCAAAAGAGCAGGCGGCGAGATGCTGGAGCCAGTGGGGCTCCAGACGGTCGGGCATTTGGAAATTTGGGGGAAAAAGCAGAGACTGGGAAAAAAGAAGGGGGGAAAGGAAAATGGCGAACTGAACTTGCACTGAACGGATTACTGAACACTTTCGCGGCTGATCGAAGATAGTCCCAGCCTAGCCATCCCACTCCCTCTTTTTTTGCAGATCATCCACCACTTCCTCCTGTTCGGTGTATCTACACCACGAGAGACGTAAGTTCCCTCCAGACAATTCTACTTCTACTTCTCCTTCTCAAACAACTCATCATTCTCCCGGTGTCAAGGTTATTCCCCTCCTCTGTTTCATTTCCGGCTGAGCGCCAAAAAGGCCGACGGGCGCTGCTGATCGACCCTAGTGGTGGATCATATTTTACTCTCTAGTCCTTCGTGCTGCGGTGCCTACTGCACTTCCTGTCTAATGATCTGATTTCCTTCGGTACCTCTCTTACTAGCCTAACTGGTCTGGCGGCAGGATAACCTTTTTTTCTGCACAAGAAAATCCCGCATCGAAGTCCGTCCAATTGCGAAGAGCAACTGTAATGGTACCTCGAAACCTTCCGAGCGCTTCCTACATCGAGTGGCCTTCCTTCGTCTTCCAGGTCCCCACCCGATCCACTCACGATGATTGCAGTAGAGTGGAAGAGCCACGATGCAGCATGCGGAGGGGGGCTGCTAGTCTAGTACTGGGCGAATCCCGTAGCCAGAATTCTCCGCCTTCCCCCCTGACCAGTGGGCATTGGCATCTGATAATTAGTAGCGAAAGAAATCGCTAGAGTGACCCGGTCCAAAAGGATTCGCCCAGGAGCCACTAACTCCCGACTATCTCGGTTGCCAAGCACCTGAATGGAACCTTCTCGCCTGCCACTTTACCGGTTCTAGCGGCCTCCTCGTGCCTTTTCATTCGAGACCATACTTAAGTATGTACTCTGTAGAATGGGGATGCCATTTCTGTATTCTCACACCCCTGTCATGAGGATTCCGTGGTAAGCTCAATCAAGTTACCCGGTTTGAGAGTGGAAACATGATTGGGCGTGATGCTGCTGGCCTGCCGAACCATGCAATGTCTCAGTTTGCTCGGCCTTTTCACTCGGTCAACAGGAAACGAACGCTCAACGCCCGTGGGCTCCCGAGTGCTCCTGCAAGTAGATGACCCCTTGAAAATCTCGTCTCCATGTGTGTGTGTGTGTGTGTGGAACGGGTGGTCCCGCAGCCCGTGAGCTACTGGCAGCGTCAAACGAGAAACTGAAGGTAGCAGAGATGGCCCTGCACATCCGATCACCAGTCAGCTCATTTTACACGCAGATCATTGGTGACGTTGCTAGAGGTCTGTGTGCCACTGGGAACCCAGATGATGGTCGATGAAGAACTGGTCTGTCTGTGGAGTGGTTCTCCTGGGTCATGTTCCGTGGATCTGCCAAAATCGAGGAAACTGGATGGGACTGACCCGACCATTCGCTTAGCTGTAACTTTTTTGACGCCTGCTGACGGTCTAGTCAATCAACTTGGCAGGCATTGTTCCTCGCTGAAATTTTTGGAACACGTCTTGGTATTGCGATATGGCGCGCAGAGCTACTCCTTCGGGATAAACAATGTGTTGGACGGTTTCAGTTTCATGTCGCGGCGGGATTCCGAGCACAGTAAACTCAAAGCTACAGGAGAGCTAGGCAACATGGAGGCAATCGGGGGTAGATCACCTCTCAACCCAGACCGTTAACGAGCACGCACTCTGACAAAACACACGAAAGGCTGTGTATTTGTGGGAGGTACCAAGCACATACACAGCTGGCAGGCCAAAGTACCTACTGATCCAGCATCAATGCACAGTCTAGTCGATTTGTTCCCGATTACACTAATAGACATTACAACTCTGTAATCACACGATCTTGATGGTGACATGAAATATATGGTCGAACAGCTGGATGCGTTTATCATGCGATGTTCGCATTGTCATGCCCAACAGGTGGTCGGCCACTGCGCCATTATTTGGGCTATATGGAATCAGTGTCCATTTGTTCATATGGAAATATGAGTGGGGGGCCTGGCATAAGCGTCGCATCACACCGATGCTTCGACGCAGGTTCTAACCCAGTTACTGCGCTCAGGTAGGCAGATCTCATGCAAGTTGGGTGACTGTATGAGGATAGTAACAGGTTGACCGTTTACATTTCTCGGCCGATTTATGATTGACTGTCGATACATCCTGAAAATGTCCAGTGCCTATCGTATACTAACCTTTCTGCCGAAAACTGGCCTCTATGTACTACTCTATACACGGGGTGTGTTTCGTTCATACTCGCAGTGGCGGAAGCTGACCTGTAGCTGCCTCCCATCCTGGTCCGTGTGAATCCCTGCCCCATGGTATGATCCTTTCCTCCATTGTGGATATTTGCCTTTGCTTATCATGCCTAATAGCTTTTGCTGTTACCGTATCGTAGTCAATTTGACGTCAAGGGATCGAGTAAAAGCGTCCGTGTCTTTTCTGATCGGCTTGCGGCATCATAGTATTAATACTATATATCACTCCCGCAACAAATGCGCATCAAAGTGGCCCAACGCCGTGACTAACAGCTACTATACAAAAGCAACGCATCAATAGATGCTCACAGCAACGGAATTCTGATCCATCAAACTATAATGACCACCCAGTCCCCTTCCACATCCCGTCTCTTTTTCGTCATCCATAAATAACCGCGTGGCAAAACACCCAACCTTATTATACCAATACCATTGCTTCATCTTAACTTAAAATCCCAGTGACTCGCTGTACCTGCCTCGCATGTATACGAAAACACCAAAAGAACAACCCAGGTCCTGAGTAGCCATGGGACATAAAGGAAGCCAAGAGATCGGCTTGCCACAATGCTTTGAAGTCGAAATGGGTCGTACCGGCTAGAACAACGCCGCAGGGCGGGATTAAACGCAATGCGCACCTGTTAACCTACTAATAAAAGTGAAATAGTACAGGTATAGAGCGTCTATCACTATTTCCCGTAGGCCGAGATCTCGCAAGCAATCGGGTGGTTAAAACCTTATGGATGATCAATCTCACGCCCGGACATGCATAGAGCACCTACCCCAAAGCCTTCCCATCGACCATGAATCCATCGACGCATATGGATTACATAACAAAAGCCCGGATGGTCTAGTGGTATGATTCCTGCTTCGGGATTTGAAATGCAGGAGGTCCCGCGTTCGAATCGCGGTTCGGGCCCGTAATTTTTTATCTTGTTTATTTGCCTATTGTCACATGACTTAGCCCATGTGGTCTTCGTTTGCAGTTGCCTGTTTTGTGTGTGTTGATCTCACTCCCACCGCGACGGATAGATGGATCTCTGTGGCAACCTATAATCTAGGAGCTGACGCTTCGTCTCTGCGTATGAGACATGCTCAGCAAGATGTTTCATAAGTTAGCCCGGATGGTCTAGTGGTATGATTCCTGCTTCGGGTCTTGAAATGCAGGAGGCCCCGCGTTCGAATCGCGGTTCGGGCCCTACTTTTTTGCCTTTTTCCGCCTCCCCGAGGGACGTGCGACCTAGTTCGCCTACCTACTTACTACCTAACTACTAACTACCCCTTTTCGTTTCCTTGCTTTTTTGCAAGCTGAAAGAAATTGTTTGTTCAGTGCACTGCCACACTGTGACAGTTCCTCAATGAGAATATTATGAAGTAATCCAAACTCTATATTATACTACTCGCGTAGAGCAGGCTAACCTGCAATCGTTGCAAGTTGTGCCTTACCTACCTCCCCTGCTGGTCCAGAATCACACATGAAACCTTCACCTTGCTACTCAGTAGTAGATATTACATGGCCTTTTACGGTCATGAATACTACCCTAATGAAGCTCAACATTCGCTCTCACATGCTACTTTCTACCAGTCCTACTATCTCGTGTACCAGAAGAACATTCATAATATATTTTGCTTCCAAGTGACTCACTCACTCAGACCCTGAGAACAACTACTTAGTAGTGTCAAGGAAATTTAACAGGAGTGGTATAAGCTCTGCCATGCAAGAATCAGAAGGTGCCAAGAAGATCAGAGACACTACTATCGATTTTAGTTTCGAAGTATGGTCTTGGCCTGGCCAGAGAGGGAGAGAAAGGAAGAGATGGCAAGATATCTAAACTTTTCATGATCATCTCAGAGCCCAGCCACGATTATCTTCATGTGGGCTTAGACACCTAGGTAAGCACTACGTTCGTGTTCGTGTTTGCTTTAGATTCACCTAGGAGGGACGGACGGGACGATCATGCGAAGGGTTTATAGACTTTAGATAGGAAGGTAGACAGGTGTAAGAAAGATGAGTGGAACCATGAAATTAGAGAAGGAAAAAAAAAAAGTTGAGTGGGTATCTGCTGGCAAACCAGAAACTCAAATGGCCCGCCAGAAGTAGTAGTAGGAAATTAACATCAACATGCATCAGTGATCGTGAGAAGATTGCAGCGCATCCCTGGTAAGAAAGTAGACAGGGAGAGGTAGAGTTAGCCCGTTGTTGACTAACTGTTCTTGCGTAGATAGTAATCATGTCCAAACCGGCAATAATTTACAAGTAAATCCATAATGAGAAAGAAGCGTTACCACAGATTGGAGGAACTGCGGGAGGTGAACGATTGATGACTGGAAATGAACAATCCCCTCCAGACCAATCAGGCGTCCACAGATACTGTCGGACCAGGGATGGGGAATGTGGCCGATTCCCTGGCCTCTGGATCTGGTGATTCGGCTCCTGTAGCCTTCCCATTCATTCGATCGAACTCGAGTGTTTCAGCCAGCTCTGCGGCCATTGGATCTAAATCTTCCTCTTTGAGGCCGGTGGCAAGTGCTACCAACTTGCGATGGACATCGAACTTGGTGCTTACACCCGCATCGGCTGTCTGTTGGACAAGATCCTTCACGGCAGCGCGCCGAGCCTTTTGGGCAGAGCACAATTGACGAGCCATAAGGTATGTGCGATGTAGTTGGTCCTGGTCAGATCCAGTATCCCCCTTCTCTGGTACTGGCGTTGAGGCGATCTTCTCTCTGAGTCGAGCCTGGTGGATTTGCTCCAAGAGTGATTCGTAGCTGTTTTTCAATTGCTCGTAACGATCAAGCTGCGTGTCGATTGACTCTTCTTCGGCTTCTTTCGCTACCAGCATACCGACCTGTTTCTGGATCTTTTGTCGATCCGATTCAAGTTGCGCATACAGTGCTTCCGGGTTCGCAACATCGTCTGAATCTTGCTGGTTTGCCTTGGAGCTGCCATAGCTTGCGGTGAGTTTCTTGTTCGCTTCGGACATAATGACGGCGATCTTAGACATCAATGCCGAGGTAGTAGGGGAGGAGTCCTGCGGAAGGCTGGGAGGCAGGTGATCTGATGTAACAGGTGCCTTGATGTCCGGATCTAATTGATCATTACCCATCGTAATAGACGAAGGGGGGAGAGGGATGTCGCGCTCATTAGGTGGTACCCGTCGGACGATAGTTGAGGCCGCCTCGCCTTTGTTGTTTATAAGGTCACCAGCTCGCGGACACCGCGCGAGTAGTAGGTCAACCAAACGAAACGCGCCATTTCGAGCGGCAATCAGAGCAGCAGTGTCCCCATTCTGATCTTGACAGGACAGCAATAAATCAACTTCCTCAGCCGAAAACGTAACACGTAGCTTATCTAGCAATACTTCGCAGTAATATCGCGAGCTCTTCCATTTTCCTTTGCTCCGAGTAGTTTCTGCTATGTGGTGGAATAGAGTAGCGCCAAACCAGTCTCGGAATGAGACTGTGTCCAAGAGAAGTTCTAGTAGCGGTGGAAACGTCCTCTTCTCATAATTGTTCGTGAACAGCACGGCACGCACGAGAGGTGTCTCCTCCTGATCAGATAGAGCTCTGATATTTGCTCCTCTCTGTAGTAGATCCCTCACGATTTCTAGGTCACCCATGGCACATGCCCAATGGAGAGCAGTATTTCCAGAATCGTCAATTGCGCGGTCGACCTGGAAATTGGCTGGCGGTTGTGGGGGAGGAATACGTGTCGCTTCCGGAGCATCCCCTACCGTCATGAAATAGTCCAACAGTTGATCACCATAGAGTATATGTTCCTGTTCACTAATAGAGATTGCCGGAGCCTCGTTTATCCCACGCTTGCGCTTCCGTGAATATGTACCATTCTGAGACATTACCATAATCTCTTCATCTGCAATCATAGACGATGACTCAAGCGTTGCTTGTTCTAGTGATTCATCCTCGTCGAATCCTTGGCTCATTTCATAGGGCTCATAAGGTGGATAGGCGGGCGGTGCCATACTTCGGTGCGGTTTTGGAGCAGGGACAACTTCTTCGGTTGCGACTCTCTTGTTTGTATTCTTTGAGGCTCTTGGCTTCGACGAGGCTGCAGTGGTATGTTTCGGGGCAGGTGGTGGACTGCGATCTCCAGCGACATAGTCGAATATCGGCCTTAACTTGTCGATGATGTTGTTGCGCTCGGCGAGCATACGGCCCTCAGGAAGCGGAATCCAAGTCCCTGCATATAGTTATAGCGCGGCAATACGAGGCGATATTGGGAAATTCTCGTCTTACCTTGATATTTTCCATAGCCACCTTGCACCTTTTCATGAACCCCTTTCTGCACCTCGCGTTCTAGGATGCGAGTCCTCGCAGGCTTGTCAAACCCGGCAACTTTGAGAATATGTGTAGCATTTATCCAGTCATCGGATCGTCTTCGCATGACACTGTCGCCATCGAGTTTGAACTCATAAACCGGGACCTAGCCACAAGTGTTAGATTGTTGTTGTAAGCCTCCTTACGGTGTTGTTCAACACGCCTCATAGGACGAGGTCTTTGCAATACCAGAAAGGGCACGATGAAGGAGTACTCACACTGCTATAAGTGGCAGAGTAGACTTTGGAGAAGTCCACGGCCGCCATGATGCGCCTCTTGTAAGCCGATTCTATTCTGCGAGTCCCGTACGATAATAGGATGTTTCCGAGCGGCGTCGCGACTTGAACACAAGGACTTAAAAATCTAAACTTGGCTACCGCAAGGCATCAATTTCAAGATTGCCTGTTGCCTTAGTAAATCACATGAATTTCAGTAGAAAGCGAGCCGGATTGGTCGTAGCCCAGCAACATCTATCTCAACACGCGACGGATGGCAGGGCTGGATAAGACGCGCTCCGGGTACGTTGACCGCGTAAAGTGGATTTGAATGCGCTAAACCTGTTGAGGAATAAATACCACGTGAGGTCACATGACTGATATCCGGAAGGAACGACGACTGCGGATAGCTGCAAACCTCACAGCCCAGTCGCCTATCCTTGGAATAACCTTCAATTGAGTCACCCCCTCGTGTCAAGATGACTGCCGCCGAGTCTGTGAAGAGTGCCATTGGGCTTGCGGATAGCACCGGTATGTATTTGTTGCCATTGGGGTCTGATGTGACGGAAGGCAGTGGTGTGAAAGTTGGCACCGGATGATTAACGACTAACGCTTGTCTTTAGCTGCCTCCCGCCAGGAAATGTCGGATGCTCGTCTTCCCCTCCAGTACCGCGACTCTTGCGCAGGCCTCCTGATCCCATTGAACCGCTGCCGCCAGCAAGAATACTACCTTCCCTGGAAGTGCGAGGTGCGTTGTTTTCACTCTGGTTTATTCATGGATTCCTATTCATCTTGTCGTATATATAACTAACGCCATGCCTCTTTCCACCCAATAGGACGAGAGACACAGCTACGAGAAGTGCCAATACGAGGAGTTCAAGAAGCGTGTTGCTAAGATGGAAGAGCTCCGCGCCGCTAAGGGTGGTGCCCGGAGCAACTAATGATACCAAAATATCGGCACGGCATTCGAGACGAGCGAAGGAGCGGGTTATGTACATAGAGATTCTGAGATTATTTGTCCATGCACCGACATTGGCGTTGGGAATCATCCAAGACTAGGCTTGCCATCACCACACTTGCGAAAACCAGAACGGTCGATTGGCTAACCAGTAGCATCAACCGTACTTTTGGGGTTATTCGGCTCCGACGCTGCTTGGGAGGTCTGGGTGTCGAAATCGTTAGCCACCCTCCCTCGAAAAGACAGCACAGGTTTCTTCAGGCCAGAAGGGACTCAGATCTGTCCCACCTTTCAACTTTGCAACATAATGAGAGCGATGATTTGTTAAGTGCAATTACCATAATAGTTTGCGACTTTGTCCGCGAGTGCCATGAGATGACATCTCAATGGCAGGCAGATGCATATCTGGCCATGGTGCAACACCCTGGAGACCATGATGGGTCTGTAAAGAGCTTCCAGTATGCTTTCAAATGGTCATGATATTCTTCATTCATCTTTCCGAAGAACTACATAGAGACGAATGACCAACTATGTTTATCTGCTTGCCCTCCATACATATCGGCCGCCGCGGAGCAACTGATAGTAGATATCACATGACCTCTTATCCCTCCACGCTGCTTAGAAATCGGCGGCATTGATAATCACCGACCACTGCTTACTGCCCCGCCCGGCCTACCAGAAATGGGGGGAATAAGTTTCCCGGCCACCAATAGGCGCTTGAGCCTTTGTACCCGAAGGTTCGACAGAATTTCTTAAAGTCGGCAGGGTCAGCATTCTGTTCATATTTAATCGATCAAGTGTCTGCTGCCGTTGTTGTCTGTGTATAACCGTTCCGGGGCAGTGTCTTGAAGTCACGACATTGCGTGCCACTGACGTTGGCTGATTCTGCCGTGGTTCGGAGATACTGCCGGGAAAGTTCCCCTCATCTCCGCGGGGTTTCTGGATGGCCTGACCTTCGAACTTTCACTTCACCCAAAGCCGCAGAAAAACCTTGGAACCTCAGACTGGGATTTGCAATTCGAAGTTCCAACTGTCTGGTGTTGACAACATGGGCTTGCTGTAGGTGGAGCGTGCTGGGTCAAAGCCGGATTTCATTGATGCGCAAAAACTAACATTGGCCGTTCCTTCAGAGCGCTTGGGACGGCTTTGGACTGGCCAGAAGCCAAGAAGAGAGCGGATCAGGTTCGCAAATGGGGAATTGAGGTAAGAAAATAAATCCTGTGTTGAATATTCTCCCAGTCATGTACTCTAGGTGGGGTTCTCTCCTGACTGAGATAGCAATTACTTGCCAATTGGCATAGAGCCAAGGGAAAGGAACGGAATGCCCTTCTCTGGGGTGACGAGGTAAGTCGCAATCTTCACATTGTTCTGTTTCAATGTTCGCTAATTACTCATTCTTCGTTAGGTCGAGTATCTCGTCGTAGCAGTCGATGATGAGAGCAAAAAGGCACGCTTGTCTCTCGCTCAGGCCGATATCCTCAAGTCGCTCGCTGAGGACGAAGCATCATGGAAAGAAGGAACTTCCCCTCTGTCTCAGAATAAGGAACAGTGAGTTTGGACTGGGGTTTTGGGAACACGAGAAGGGAATCACTGACAGATCTTAGTGAGGGTGAGGAGCCACCTCATTTTCACCCTGAATTTGGCCGATTCATGCTGGAAGCCACTCCGGGTAAGCCCTGGGGCATCGACTTCAAGGATCTGCTGAAAGTAGAGTCCAATATGAAGTGGCGGTACGTTTTCGGTTTCCCCGAGCAAGTGATGACATGTCTGATGGACGTATAATAGGCGTGAGGTTGCAAAGGCTCACATGGCACCAAATGAGAGTCCTATCACGCTCACCACATTCCCTCGTCTGGGGACGAAGGACGACTATATTCAACCTTATTATCCCCCATCGGGTCCCGCATTGAGATCTCAATTTGTTCCCGACGAAATCGCTAACCCCCATATTCGATTTCCAACCTTGGCGGCCAATATAAGATCAAGGAGAGGCCGGAAAATCGAGCTAAATGTGCCAGTCTATAAGGACAAAAACACGCCTGATCCCTTTTTGGATCCAACCGTGGACTATGACCTCCATAACTGGCCCGAGGATGATGATGTCCGAAATGGCGCGGCTAAGGAGGGTCATGTTTACATGGACGCCATGGCATTCGGCATGGGGAGTTGCTGTCTCCAGATAACTTTTCAAGCGAAGAACATGACGGAAGGGAGAAAGTTGTACGATCAACTGAGTCCGCTGGGGCCTATCCTCTTGGCTCTCACTGCCGCTACTCCGATATACAAGGGTTTCCTCGTCGACACAGATGTCCGTTGGAATCAAATCAGTGGAGCTGTTGATGACCGGACACGGGAGGAGCTTGGTGAACTTGTAAGATTCCGCTCTTCTGTGTTGTTTGTTTCTCAGTCTCAAGAACTGTCTTAACACCATGCAGCCCTTGAAGAATGATAGATGGAGGATCCCCAAATCACGATATGCTTCGAACTCGACTTATATCTCACAAGATCCCAGATTAAGAAAAGAATATCTGGATCCCGATCTTATCGTTGATCAAGATATCAAGAAGCGATTGATGGATGACGGCATGGATGATCTTTTGGCGACACATTTCGCGCACCTGTTTATTCGTGATCCACTGGTCATATTCTCGGAAGATCTCGAGGAGCTGGATTTGAACAAAGCAGATCACTTCGAGAACCTGCAGTCGACCAATTGGCAGCATATGCGTTTCAAGCCGCCGCCACCTGACAAGGATGACATCGGCTGGCGAGTTGAATTCCGATCCATGGAAATCCAGATGACCGACTTTGAGAACGCCGCCTTCAGTATCTTTATCGTGCTTGTGACCCGTGCAATCTTGAGTTTCGATCTCAATTTCTACATCCCGATCCAGCGTACGACAGAGAACATGGAAACTGCGCATCTTCGAAATGCAGTGTTGGAACAAAAGTTCTACTTCCGCAAAGACCCTTTCTCTCGTCGCAGACCGAACCAGCAATCGCCAGGTGGTAGCAATGTCTCCTCTACGACATCCTCTGCTCATAACACGCCACCTCCATCGCCACCACTACACCCAGTGGAGTCTGAGTATGATCTAATGACGATTTCCGATATTATCAATGGTTCCCCTGATGGATCATTCCCTGGATTAATTCCGCTCGTCGAATCTTACTTGAACAGTGTCAACGTGGATGTTGAGACACGGTGTTCGCTAGCCAGCTACCTTGAACTAATCCGTAAGCGTGCGAACGGTACCCTTTGGACTGGAGCCAAATGGATCCGCGAGTTCGTTGCGTCACACCCTGGGTATAAGCATGACAGTGCCGTATCCGAGGAGATTTGCTACGACTTGGTGAAGGCTGTGGATGAGATGACTGTTAAAGAAGGCAAACACGGTACAGTTGGGTGGGAGCTCCTCAGAGGCAAGAAGAATTAGATGGCTGAAGACGAGTGTTGTTGCATATAGAAGTAGATAGCGTGCTCTCCATATTCTTCTACAGTGAAGTGAACTTAATTAGAACTTCCTTGGCAGCTGATTGAAGAGGACATCCAAGCATACTTATCAGACTATAATATCAAAAGATTAAGTTATTTCTCATAGGGCTTCGTTGATGGTACTTCTTCACATTCCTCAATGTGCTCCGCAAAAGGGCCGCGGCATAATGCCATGTGATCCATCAATCAATCATGATTTCGACTTTCCTGTCTTGATTTATTCTAAACACCTTCCCGCTCCTCCAAAGGCCCAAACTCCCCATTTCCGTCATTCAGGCATCTTTCACTCCTGGCCACTATGGCAACAACATCTTTTCTTCCTCCGTTGGCTGCCGACATGAATCCGCCAGCCCTGTCACTTTCCATACACCGTTGACTTTATGAAGAATGAAAAGCTCAACGCCCACATGATGCACGACCCCATTGACCTTTGCCCGAAAAGGTGCCCATACTGCAGCCATGTTTCCAGGCGAGTATACCTTCACCTCTGGATCCCAGATGCGCTCGTCGATTTCGTCCTGAATCCGCGTCACTTGCTCCACGAAAGCTCCAATAGTACAAAAGCGAGGAAGGGTGGGGGATGGTGGCCAAACAGACATTCCTCCTGCCCGAACACAGTATTTCTCGAAGTCAACAGGATTTTTGGTCCTCAGTGCAGCTAAAAATCCATGAATGACAGCCATGACAGAATCAACTTCGTCGCAAGGCTCGGGTAAGCCTGCCAGGGGGGCCGCCTGGTTTGGAATTATCCAATGCATGCTTGATGCCTTCAAAGAAAATTTTTGAGGAACCGTGTCGAAAATTTTGTGGACACTGCTTCACACGTCACAAAAGCTGGATTTTGATGAAAGGATCCCCGTCTTCACTTGCGCACCTGGAGAAATTCAGACGGAGTCCAGAATTCAATATGTTCCTCCCCTTTGCCCCAGTGTACTGGCATGATATGCAGTTTACTGGTATGGCAAATAACCAGGATACGAGTCATCGAAAGCCTTTGTCTTTTAGGTATTTGGCAGATAGAGCATAAACTGGCAATCAGGCCATGGTCTATTGGAAGAGACACTGCATAATTTCAGGCGGCACTCGAAACAAAGGCTTAAGAAAAGGCCTGTACTGGCAATACTCTGATATAAGACCAACGAGCCAGCTGAACGTGTTACCGTTACAATGCCAATGATGGGCTTGTGCCACGAGTATACCCCTCGCTCCCGTCAGTGCGTGAGAGGGCCATGGGAAGCTTTTGCAAGCTCCTGATAGCATCTGCCGAAATTTTGGACGGCAAGTCCACGAAGCAGCATAAAATTTCCATGCATAAACACAATCTGCTTCGCACCATCGGTGTTGGATGGGCCTCTCGGAATCAGAAACAATAAGAACAGCGTCAGCTCAGCTCATATGCTTGTCCGACAGAACACCATAACTCACACACCCTTCTTAACATGACCCTCGTACGACCTCAGCCTTGGTGGAGACGTTCTCGCCTGGGCCCCTTCCTGTCCATGTGCAACAATGAGAAAGCCTTGCACCGGACGAGCTAACCTCTATAAGCAAAGCGATTTCACATCGGAGGTGATTACAAAGCCAGCCTGTGTCAATGCCGTAGCTTAGAGGCTTCTCTTATACCGTTGGTAGAAGACAGGGAGAATTTTGCCTAATAAGAGAGACACAAGTAATTGGGTTATCTCTGAGCCTAGACATGCATGATGCATCTGCCAATTTTGGGCACTGGCGGTCAAGCGACCCGCATGTCTCTTTTCTCTCTGGCGCCTCGTCTGCCATTCCCGTCTTCCACATCTCTCTGTATCGCGTCTGCTTCCATGTCGGGTCTGCTTCAGGGTGTAAACACGATCAGCTTCCGCTCTTTAACTTATATACGATGCACCAGATTTATCTATTGCGCCGGCATGAGGTCAGCCCACATCACCACAAGCTCACCGTGAACGGTGCTCATCCAGCCGTCGCGAGAAATTACCTTCCCGAAAAGGCCCCATACAACTCACGCTCCGGCAAAATATTCGGCATGTCTACAAATCAAGACTCGGCATTTGGACGTACTCGATCTGCCATTTTGGCCATGAGGTCATTATGCCAGCTGTGTCCTATGACTCTGTAGCTCCACATCTCGGTCGACAATCCTACCAGGAGCGAGTTATATATGGCGGTTGAGCCTTCAATGGCGCGGTTCCCCGCATTCCTCACCCCATACTCTCCCGGCAGAACCCCGGAGATAACCCCCACTAATGCACCAGGTGCAAGCTGGCATGGATTGAATTATCCGGGGTGCATCCATCCTTGTTCCCCACATGTTGGACCCTTTCCTTATAATGGCCGCCCCAGCAAACCCCCAATTGCTGTCGGGCCAGCGCAAATAGCAAATATCTCGTCTGTTTAATGATGCCAAAACTCGCTGTTGCTCTTCTCGCGTTACTTGCTGTGGGCAATGCGGCGCCAACTAAAGTGGCCCGCTCCGCGGCCAGTCCTACGGCCCAGGTTCGCAACGGCACATATATCGGAGTGACGAATACACATTATCATCAAGATTTCTTTCTGGGAATGCCGTACGCTCAGCAACCTTTGGGTGACTTGCGATTCACGGTGCCACAGTCCTTGAATGAGAGCTGGAGTGGGGAGCGCGACGCAAAGGAGTATTCCGACATCTGTGTAGGATACGGGGTAAGTGCGCAAAGCCTTCTCCGAGCTGATCCTGGCATTATAGGTGTCAGCTAATGGGAGTATCTGTTAGACCGATTCAATTTGGTACCCACAGTCCGAAGCGTGTCTGACCTTGAATGTCATCCGCGATTCTTCTGCAAATGAGAACTCGAAGCTCCCTGTGGGCGTTTGGATACATGGCGGTGGTTTCTATGAGGGATCCAGTGCTGACCAGCGCTACAACATGTCCGCGATTGTCGCCAACTCCTATAAAATCGGTATGTTCACGTATAAGGTTGTGGAGTTATTCTGACTTGTGACACTCGCATTGTAGGGAAGCCATTCATTGCAGTCAGCTTAAACTATCGCCTTTCGGCATGGGGCTTTTTGAGCTCCAGTCAGGTCTGGGGCACTGGGAATACCAACCTAGGCATCAGGGACCAGAGGCTAGCACTTCATTGGATCAAGGAGAATATTGCAGCGTTCGGAGGAGACCCAGAGAAGATCACCATCTGGGGCGAGTCCGCCGGGGCGATGTCCGTTGGCTATCACCTTGCAGCATACGGCGGGAGAGACGACGGGCTCTTTCGTGCAGGCATCATGGAATCGGGAGCGACTATTAGTGCTAGCCCAGACAACTATACCGGGTACCAAGCGCTCTATGATGAGCTCGCGGCCCAAGTCGGTTGCTCCAATGTAGTAGACTCTTTGCAGTGTCTGCGCGAAGTTCCCTTCGAGAAACTGAACGCTGCTCTCAACACCACAAGTGGCAACTCGGAGTTCAATTTCGGGCCTGTCATTGATGGAGACATCATCAGAGAATGGGGTAGCCTCCAGCTGGACAAGCATGAATTCGTCAAAGTCCCTATTCTTGCAGGTACCAATACCGACGAAGGAACAGCCTTCGGCCCCACGGGTATTAACACGACAGAGGAGTTCTATGCATATCTAACAGGTATGTACGATGATCAGTTGAGATACTGAAAGAACCCCAGGACAGCAAAATGGGCTAATCTCACATGCAGATGGCGAATCTGGATTCCAGCTACCCCCCACGATCGCCCAGGAAATCCTGCAGCTCTACCCCGATGATCCAGCACTGGGTATCCCCGAATTCCTCGGAGACAGTCGAGTCCCGTCCAAAGGCTACCAATGGCGGCGCACCTGTGCATACGCAGGGGACTATGTAATGCATGCCAACCGGCGGCGACAATGTGAGGCGTGGACAGAGACCTCGACGCCGGCGTACTGTTATCGATTCAACATGCGCGCGGCCGATGTCCCCATCCTGTCTGGCGCCACCCATTTCGAAGAGGTTGCCTTTGTGTTCAACAACATTGCAGGACTTGGGTACCATTACGGAAAGCCATTCGCAGGGATGCCCGAGTCCTACGTACAGCTAAGCAACTTGATGACCAGCATGTGGGCATCGTTCATCCACGATTTAGATCCTAATTCGGGCATCAAGGACTCCGATGTACAGTGGCAACCGTACGGGAAGGATCAGCCGGTTGATCTGGTGTTTGATGCGAATGTCACGAGCTACAGCTACATGGAGCCAGACACGTGGCGGAAGGAGGGGATCGACTATATCAATTCCGTGGCCAACGCGTACTGGCGATAAGCTTCATGCTATCGAAAAAACACACATGTGATGAGCATGAGAGTTTTTTTGCCTTCCGATCGATGTTGCCTGCGGAGAGGACATAAGCCAAGGCAAACAAGGATGGTAGAGGGGGTGCGAGCGCATCCAAGTCGGCCACGGTTGTTGATTGACGGTTCCCTCGTTTAGAGAGCAAATACAGATGCCATACTTTTCATGCAGCAAACTCAGTTTTTCCCAATCGGATGGTAGATCGGTTCCGAATTGTAAGAAGGCAAGATCATACGGAGTTTTTACAAGAGAATCCCAAAAACTCTACAAACAGCATTACGAATTCCAAATTACCAAAAGCCTGTATGACAAAAACCAAGCAGAGACTAGTAGATACCTGCGATGACCTTTACACACCCGTGTGGTGTTCGCCCATTGTACCAAGGCCAAGCCAAACGGCCAAGACACGGAAAAAACCAAGAGCGAGAACCGCTTCCCCCTCCAAGAATCAAGAACCAGGAGGGGAAGTAAAAAGAGAATGTGGAAGCGATAAAAGGGGTCTTCTTTTTTCCATTCCTTTTTCTTTTCCTAGAGAGGGAGGAGAGTCGGCGTTCATTGTCAATCAGCAGAATGTTCGCCGTCCTGAAGTGGTGTACGGGTAGTGAGTAGTCTGTATCCGGACCATCGGGGACATGATTATCATACGATCCATAACCAAGTCCCCGATTGTACTACGGCTACCAAAACAAGAATGATGGAAAATACTGGAGCATGACAGAAAACTAAAATAATCATAATAATAATACTAATACTAATACTAATACAAATAAAAACAATAAACGGAATAGTAAAGAAAAAAAAAAAATCCAAGCTCGGCAAGTAAAAATTTCCCCCTGGTCTTGTTGTTGTAGGTTCACCAATGACAGCGGATCCCCGATTTTGACATCGATGGGGACCCTCTCCCCTCTCTCTCAGCCCCCGTGGCTGACATGGAGGGGGGGGGTTGTGTGTGAGTGTGTGTGTAGAAGAAGGGGAAGCTGTCATATCCTTTCCCATTGTGGATAGACCAGCCAGGGGTCTGTCTCCCCCTCGGGGTCTATTCTCCCTTTCGCTTTTCCTTCTCTCCAACCTCTTGGTATTCCGTCAACCGGCAACGATCGGGGAAAGGTCAGAAGTGAAGGCATGGTTCCAGATGAAAAGGTCGTGAGAATCTTATCCAGAAATTCTATCTTACTCCAACCATCGGGTCGTTCCCATCCATCGATTTAGTTTGACTAGTTGATCTAAACGAGGGAAGGAGTGCGTGTTCCAGAACAACTACCCACTGGCTTGGAGGTTTTTTTGCAAAGTCGGTAAAAATTACCTGATTGCAGAAATCTAACCATGGAACGAATGTTCAGTTCCCGAGCCATTCATCCATGGAGAGAGACGGCTGTGATGGAGAACTTTGAACATTCCAGAACAAAACAGAACGGCTTAACCGGAGAATACTAGTACTACTCCTCCAATAGTAGAGTAACTAAAAGTAGTAAAGGGAAGTGGGAACAAGTTCAAGTCAGATAAAATTTGGTATAGATAGACTTGGTCGACTAATCGACTACTAATCTATTAGACAGTTAATATTACTAGTAACTAACTTACAAGAATAGATTTCTTACACGGACAACCAGAGAAGGACCGGAACGGAAGGATTGAAGGAAGCAAGGAAAAAACGGAATGACGGGGGAGGAGGGGGAGGGGGAACCAATCTAACACGGTTGCTTTGATTGAAGGTTGCCGATCGCGATCGTTGTAATCAAATCAACCAGGTTGTCATGGACCGACCAGAGAGACAAGAGCCACACTCACTGACACCTCCATCGAATTCATCCGGTGGCGTTAAGGACGGGCCCCCGTCCCCCAATCCCCTCTTCTTCTTCTCCCTCTGTTCTATTCTGTTTCTATTTATTAAAATTTGATTGCCCGTATCTTCTCTAAATTATTCTTCGTTCCTTCTTGATAATCAATCCACTCACATCCACACCTACCCACCCCATCCATCTATCCATCTCGGGGACCTCGTTTGCGGGATCTTACCTACTTTGCTTAGTAGATAGATACGTAGATGAAATTGGAGTTATAGTAAAGTGTCATCATCAATATCATCATCGTTCATTTCCCGGCCCCTCTCTTCTGCAGATTTGATCCTGACTACTACTAGTTAAAGTAACTACTTATACTTAGATAGTTAGTCCCGTCTTCGGGTCGCCGTTCTATTGACATTTCTAAATATAAGTTGGTCGTTCCCTGTTCCCACTCACCGAGCGGGAAAAAATCGATAGCAACACGTACTACGAAGTTAGTATAGTCCTACTACGTGCTGTCATATTGCTCCAACTACTACTACTACTACTACTACTACTACTACTACTACTACTACTACTACCACTACTACTACCGGGGATATTCCCGAATCCCGAACGATGTGGATATATACCAAAACCTCGATTTTAATTAAACAACTAATCAAAAAGAGAGACTAGAATAAATACTACTACCAAGAAAAGTAAAAGAGGAATCATTCGATCCGATCGGTAATAATAGCGAATCTCGTCCGTCTCTATTACCTGCTTACTTAGTTACTACTACTTACTAGTACGTACTAACTACCAAGATCTACATCTATCTACCTGTCAGTGGTTGTCAGCTTTCGTCAGTACTAAAGTTTCCAGTTCTAGATCCCATAAGCCGGGTGTATCCGTGGTTTCCTATCCACGTGTTATTCGGGTCCAGGCTAAGCAAACTGTAACTAAGTGAACTAACTAGGTGAGATTGGAATCGCCAGTCAGGAATTAATCCATTTTCACTTTTAGTTTGTTGAAAAACTTTGGTACCGAATTTGATGGTGTATGTATGTATGTATGTATGTATGCTGTTCTTGCAAAGTTACGTGTGTGTGAGTATTGCTTAGAACAGACGGGTTTTATTTCTTTTTTACTTTCGATGATGAGTTGTCTTTTTCCTTTGGTTGGGTTCTATGTTCTTTTTTCCTTTTACTTTGTAGATTTGTGGTGATGAGGTGCAGTGGTTACTTGATGGTGATATATATATATATATATATATAATGAATGGCATCTCACATATGAACATACGAGTTTGCATTTACTACTAGTAGGATATATAACAAAACATCGAATTTATATGAAGGGTATCATCTACTAGTGTACTATCAATACTTCTACATAGTACCAGTAACACACATAATCTACAAGTAGATCAACAATACACCTACAGACCACATACAGTCCAACCTGCAGGTCATCCCAAGCTGTGCGGTATGGGCCGGTGCGAGATACTACTGGTAACAACGCACCGAGCGCATCTGGACCACACACACATACATACATCCACACACCAGCAGCAGCAGCAGCAGCATGATGATACATGTATCTAGCTTCGCTAGATCGGTCAGGCGGATGCAGCACTCTAGCATTTCATTAGTGGTTTATGCGAAATACTATTCATGCATCTACTACTACTACTACTAAGTACGTCTTCTTCATGTCGTTTCAAAGTCTATGTGGCAGCGGGCATGAATAAGCACCAATTGGTAAGAATGTATCTTACCTCCTAATTCATTGGCCATGATAAAAGCAATGCAAAAGTAAAGCATAACAGACTTTACTACTACTACTACCTGAAAAAAAGATACATTTGCAAAGTAAGATGCGTACTAACATCGAATCGTACATTTCCGAAAGTAATATAACCCTTTTACTTAGAATACGAACGTAAATTATGATTGATACATGGTAAAGGGCAGCATCATGTGGTACTAAACATTCATGTGGTTAATTTACGTGGACCCCAAAACGGGAAAGAAAAAAAAATAATAAGCCAAAGTCACTCAGTTGGTCGAGTCAGGAAATTCAATAGAATCTATAAAGAAACCTACTATAGTCTTGACGCGATCGGAGAAAAAAAAAAGGCATATCTCATAGCCATATGGCTTGCTGGCATGATCGATCGGGATCAGGTTACATCGTGTCTTAGTGTGTAGTGGGGAGGGGGGGGGGGGGGGGAAGGAAGGAAGGAAGGCAGGCAGGTTTCTCTATCTACCGTATGGGTTTAGCATCGGAGGGCTGATCAGAAAGAAGTAAGAGTAACTAGGTAAATTAATTTATGCTTACTTGTTCACATGATGGGGACCCGATCGATAGTTCAGATGGCCACATATCATTAATATTCACATTGGCGTGACTAGTTAGTTTGGTTGTCGTATATTGCTGGCTGTGGCGCAGTTTGCTACATGTGTTGATAGTGGTGGTCAGGTAATGGTGCTTTGTGTGTTGGCTACGGAGACCCGTGTCGAGTATACTACTAATTCACCTGCATGTATACCACCCACCCCCCCCTCTCCCCCCTAAAGAAATCGTCCACTTGCACATGATGCAATATCTTCCAAACGTTATCATTCGCCTTGAGAAGTTCCTTGTTATGGTCATCTAGATGTAGATACTAGATAGATAGTAGTGAAAAGACTGGGCAGACAAGCAGGCGTGCAGCCCCTTTTGCGGGCTGATTTGTAAGCTCCATGACTCGCAATTAATATACCGTGTGGTAAATATAGCTGCCTTCAGCGGTGGCTATCCGAGGCTGCAAGCTCAGCAAGCATGGCGTCCGGGATCAACGACAATAATGCTCTTCACTATAGGATCCTCAGAGGGTCGATACTGAATAGTCAGTGAGTAGGGCAACGGGATGATTTGGAGAAGGGGAGTGGTGGGTGGGTGGAAGAGCGGCCCCAGGCGCAACGTGCTGACTCTTCAGAGCCGGGCTATGACGCTGCTTCACTATAAAATGGAGACTGAGGGCTAACGGCGATTCATTAAACAGTCAGATACTAGCACCGTTCCGGTTGTCATCTCCGTGGGCTGTTCGTTAGTCCCAGTGATAGACCTCCGGACCTCATATATCTTAGCCCCAACCACCCAAGATCCGCGCGCAGATTAACCCGCCGATGGGCGATGGTCGATAGGCGACGCTAACTAAACCCAACTCTAGGCGATAGATAGACGTCCCACTGCCCAAAGTTGGCAACAGTCGAGACGAGGATTACTGCCACTGTTTTCCCGTACTGTTCGTTGTAGGCTACAACCCACGGCGGGTTGATGATCAACGGCCGTTATCAAGTCAGGAGCCACACCTTGACTGGATCCATCCTATGAAAGCACAGAATCTTTCGAGGATCCTCTCTCCTCCCCCCTATTCTTTGGTCTTCAATGTCTTTCCTGTTTTCTCTTTTCTCTCTCTATCCAGCTTCCGAATCTTCTCTTCTGGAGAAGCGGCCAGAGGCGCTGGGGTCCACTGACTGTACCCACTTTCTTATTTGCCGGGTAAATTCGACGGGTTTCCAGTAATGGGGTTTTATTGCGGGCTTCCAGACGGATGGAAAGGAGGATTTGGAGAGTGAAAGTCGAAAATACTACGAGAAGCTAAGTCAAGTGATGAACTCGAACCCGTCAATCAGATCCATTCTACCGGGAACCGCGCTACTCAGCCTGTATTATGTTGTGTTGAGGATGTACTCTACCTAGCGAGCGGGGACTCCCAGTTCGCAGCCCTTTTCCAAATTTTTGGTTGATTTAATTTATCCCTTTTCGGGTGACAAACCTTTGGAGGGCTAGATGGCCGGCCTTGGCTAATGAGTGAATGCGAGATCCGCCCCCTCATCTTTCCAGACGGAGATTTCACGTACTTTAGTTGATATCCTCGACATGTCATCGAGATAATCTCATGTATCTATGCCTCACTAGGATCGCGTACTTTTTGCCACCATGCATGGTTAACCTTCCGGATTTACGCTGATGCGTCCCCCAGTGATCCGTCAGGCCTGACCACCAAAGAGGTGGATCACACCACAGCCGGGTCCGTAGATGTGGTGGGGAAAGTCAACGTTCAACGGCTTGGAAATGGGTGCGTATCTGGCAGTTACCGTGCCGCGGCCTCCGAATTCGCCAAGTCCTTCACTCGAGCTGCTGAGAAAGGAAAGCAGGATTGGGCTTGCCGGGCGTTTTTGACACCACACCGATCTTATGGCTCCCAAACGGTTCTATTGCAGTCTGCTGGGCCGCGCCACTACATGATTCATGAGAGGGCAGCCTCTTTTTTCTGCGGTCGTGTTAATCTCTGCTAATTTGTTCTTTCTTATCCACTTCTGCTCCCTTCAAGGAACCGTGTCTGGTGGATCGGCCAACCGCCTCGTCGGTGCCAATATTGGAATGTAGATGTTTGAGAAGTAAAGATTATAGATCTGAGTGTCCATCGATGTTTCGGGATTTGCTTACGACTCAGTTCGGGGTATGCACAAGAGCCGAAGTAGATCCGTCTTGCGGCCGGCGCAAGATGAGGCGACAAGGGCCGAAAAAAAAAACGAAGTGTGGAAAATTTTTGAAGACGGCGGGACACCCTACCCAAGACCGTTAGACTATGATGGCACACAATAACGCGGTCTTGCTTTCTTTTTTTTTTTTTTTTTTTTTTTTTCTTTTTCTGTCCATTCCGTTTCTTCTTTGTCCCCATTGTAAACAAGAAATTTGACAATATTATGGTCTTTTATAGAATTCCTTCGTGTCGAGCTGACCCTGGAACCCGTATGCAAACCTGAAGTGGCGATCGCCACTGTGGCTCAAAGGTCCTATACAGAGTACACACTTTTGTTCGTTCATAGTCTCTCTATCAGCCATACAGATAGCCACCCATGGGTGGGAACAAACACCTTAGTCGTAAAGGATTCCGATGATTGACAGGGCCATCTGTCGTATTCGTCACCCAAGGCAAGGGTTTCTCCAGTCGAATCTTGGTACACCATACGCCAAAGACGGGAGAATGAATGGAGCCGATAAAGAATGGTCCACTTCACGTGTCTTCCAGGGGGTGCTGAAGGAATGGTGAAAGAGGAATGGATGACAAGTGGGCCGGCCCTCCGTCTGATCCCCTGGACTCCTCAAATGGAAGGAGGAGACCGAGGCTATCCTCAGCAACTGTACTCACATTACCATACATACTTGACTGTAACAGCGCTCTATATCGAAGTCATCTCATATACAGTAAAAAAATTCGTAGGACATTCTGTTTCCGACTCGATGAACAAGCATGACCAGCCAAAGGAACACAGTTCAGACTAAATCGTGTATGGATGAGTGTTGTTGCCGGTTGGAAGGGAGCCCTTCCAAATTCTACTGTGGTCGATGACCCGGATTTCTCCCTTCTCTCTCGCATATATGGTCACCGAATCCCCAATGGGAATATTCATAACCATTGTTACTTACCTTTCAACGAATCTTTAGGTACTAGACAGTATTTAGGAACTTACCGATATCAGATGTACTGCACCTGTATTCGATGAGAAATCAGTTATTCCCTCAAATGGGCTTTAGTGGACTTGGGAATTTTGGGGGGTTACTCAGTAGAGACCATACTAGGTGGTTGGCGGAGACCGTTAGCGTCGTTAAACGCGCTCCCAATCGGTCGGCCTGCAGGAAACCCAAGTCTTAGTAGTCCAAGGACAAAAGCAGGCCAGAAGTGAAATTTATCGGGTTTAGCCGTTTTTGACGAAACCCCAGCTGTCAACTTCCTGGTTTGGGATAAGTCGTCGGAGAGTTTACCGGGATGGATCCACTACCGTTTGACACTGGAGCTCTCCCTACCCCCCTTCTGCTTTTTCTCCAGCCCATAGAGCTGTGCCAGCCTTTTGGCCCATGAGCAATCGGCCCGTCTTATGCAAAACAACAAGGGCCAAGTCAAACCAAAGGACTGTGCAGAAATAGCTCGTAGCTAGCAGTCCGAAATACTGGGCGCATTAGTACCTTTGGAATGACCCGGAGAGGCATCTACACACTATACCGAGGTATCTGGTCGTTGAAACAGCTGCAAATCCTTGATTGATGACTCGTCGGTCAGACACCAAGGATTACGAGTCAGTGTAGAGAGTATCAAGAGGATTCCCCTCACTAATGCGGACGTATTTGGCGCTGTAATGGCTGTTGGAGCGTCAGTAACCAGCCTCAGATGGCGAAAGGGGTGGCAGGCAATAGTGAGAGGAGTATTCAAATTTCGAATGGGCTCATAACAAGATGTCTGCACCAATGAGCAGGTAACTGTTGAGGAGGATGCGATCGCTCGCATCCTGGGCTCTTGCCATAATGGTCGAAGCGCTGTCGCTCACTTTCCTCTTTGGACTGGATGATGATTTTTTGACCATCTTGGAGCGATCGTAGGACCCGGTCCCACCCCATCCCCCATTGCCGGTATCCAACAGCTGTACTTATCCTAATATTGATAGAGCGCAGTCAGCGAAAACGTTAGCGAGGTGCGACGGCGAGCCAACGGTCGCAACGGCCCTTGAACCATCTCTGTTGGCGCTGTCGATCCCATTATCCGCTTTTCGGCCCACCATTCTCCAACCCCATTATGACACAGTAGAGCTGTTTTGGCTGCCATATGTCTTTTTGATAGAAATCTTCCGATACCAATGGTGTGCTCTGAAAATACTCCTTACGCTTTCAACCCTGACAGCCTGTTTGCCGGCTGGGGCTGTGTGCAACACCCCACATTGTCTATCTAGCCCCATAGTCGTCGTATTTCCGACTCCTTTATTGAACGTGGTCAAACATCGAATATAGAGAACAACCATATCAGTCAGCAGAGTACTGGGTACCATGGCCATTTACCAGGCCTCTGTGGCGTCGTGTAATATAGCAATTCGGCGGTACTTTTAGGAATTCGTAGGTGAAGTCCCACCTAGAAGCCCCCAAAGGGCCAGTATAACATGTACTTTGAAAGGGACGTAAAGCACTTTTTCAATCTCCCTGTACAATATGACGGTTGATTGGTAGAAGCAGGATAGCTCTAGTGGGTCAGAAGAGTGAGTACGCCACTAGTGCCGGTATAAGTCTGTAGATTGGGTGTCTCCGTTACCAGGGAAGACATAGGTTCACGGCTGAAGCATTGCCGATGATGGATGACCAACCATTTCCTTAGTGATCAATAGCCGGGATAACGCGCGCTGGATAATTCTTTCCCACAGTAGTAACCACTGCCCCTCACAAGACGCTTCTTGTATGATATCTAGCTAGTTCAGAGGCCATGCAAGCGCGTGACATGTCTCCCACGCGTTTCAGACTTGGGATAGATCAAATTAGCGGGCCCTTGCTGTAACTTTTTAGTGCCGGCTGATGCCCGGGAAATACTTAAATGATGTACGCTAAAAGCAACTGGTCACTCTTGGACCGCTTTGGTCTGGGTGGCTTCCCTGTTGTTAGGTTAGACCCGTCAACGTTAAGAGGCTTCCTGGGGCTGCGGCAAAGCCCAAGCTCCGGATGCTGAGTTCATCATCCAGTGGATTGAGTCACTGTCTCCCAGCCTTCCAATGGCGATATAGTCACAGTGCCTGGAAGTCAAGAACGTTATCACCCTTTGGTGTGGATGATCCGTTATACAGAGCGAGCGACGCATCTGGGGCGTTGTAAGAGGGGCTGAAACAACTTCATGGACAATTAATGAAGAGGGGTTGGACGATTCGTCTCAGCCGTAGAATACGTAGGCTGTCACTTTCGTCAAGCCGGTCAATGTGATGGTATTGCCAGTACCTAAGTACTCTGTATGGAGATACTTACTGGCCAGTGCATCCGTCTCACCCAATCAGAGCCGGTCAAAAGCTTGGGACCTCGCGCCGAGCAAAGATTTCCCGAGAATGCTAATCCGCTTTTGGATTTAGCGAGCGCTCCGGCCACAGCGTTCCTCGTTGTGTCCAGAGATCTAAACCAGACAGCACTGCGCTCCCAAGTGATTTATGTTGCATAAAAGCTCGTACACATAAAATTCGATGTGACTCACGCAATAGCCGGGCAGGAGCTGCAATCAGTCAACTAAGTCCGCCTGATTAAGTCGGTCATTATTGGGGGCGACCGCTGGCAGATTTAATTTCGTTGCCGCCACTCAGTCTGTGCACCGGTAGATACGACCAAAAGTACCAGATGAACAGAGTGGCCTGTCGTCATAGCTTTGGTGTTCCTGGTTCGTTGCATCCGGGCAGAACTAATGCGGGAAGTATATCTCGCGAGGGGAACCCTCCATGGGGATGAATTATTGACGAGGAGAATTAAGTCTGTAGGATGAGGTCATGGCCTTGGGTCCCCTCCCAACATCACATGTAAAACGATCGATGAAACAGGATAGTAATCAGAGAAAAACGTCCAATCCTTTCCTTTTAGGGATCTCCGACACCATGCGCTGGACCTGGCGGAAGTGATTACCGTAGCCTTGCTAAGTCGGGTAAAGATCGGTTACTTTCAGTTGATCCCTCAAGGAACATCTTTAGCGCCATCTGCTGGAAGTCAGCTCAGCTTCCCCTAGCCTCGCCATGCAGTGCAGTTCGCAGAAGACTGTTCCCCTTCCTCAGAGCTAGAGTGGGAAAGCCAAGTTCAACGGTGCTAAAATTACGTACCCGGGGCCGGTCGCAAGATCGAGCAGCTCCACGGCAATGGCAATGGACCGGCAATAGTTTCCAGTAGCCATGTCTGGTTCGATGGGGGTATGCCAAAAAGTTGCACTAGCAAGCAAGCCACTAGAACGAACCTATTGTATTGGTAGTTGGTACTGAGTACTCTTCAATTTAGATTGAGGGGCTATGATCCTCTTTGAGTCAGATCTCTCCACGGAGTACCGGTGGATGAGCATGGTTGTTTCATTTCAGGGGCCGACGACTTCCGGGTAAACATGGGTCTGAAGCGTCATGGGATAATGATGGTAGTGTGAGTTAGGGGGGTTTTCCACAGTTCATATTAATATTTTGGTTGTTGTCTGACTCGTAGCTGCATATCGGTTGTCCACTTTCTCATCCAGCTATCTATAATACGTATGCGACATGCATTACTAGGAAATTACACACCCTACAAGAAAGGAGGGAGGGATAAAAAATTCTTAACACGAAACTTTGCAACAATTGGTATTTACGAAAAGGTAACTCTTGGATTCGATGAATTGGGGGGGAGAAGTCTCGTTAAGTTCATAGTCGGCATACTTCTTCGATCTCAGAGCCGTTGGAACGACGGATTACATCACACAACCCGAATCATGGTTCTGAGCGAAATGTAAGCGCAGAAACGAACCCGTCATATGAAGCACTTTATAACAGTTGTCAGAGCATAGTGGTTGTTCTCGCTGTTACACCGTATCCTGATAATAACACACCTGTAAGGAGCGAGATTCAAAGTCAAGATCAGTCTGAGCCAAAGCTTGTTCTCTGCAGTAAGCCCGTATCGTATGCATTCAAGATCCACTGTTCCAATATCCTTCCTGAACGTTCCATTTGGTACAATGACCCCCTCCGAAAATAGTGAAAAAAGTCAAGAGCAGTAGGATATCATCTCGCATACATCAGGCGAGGCTTCAAAAAAAGTAATACGTCCCTAAAGAAAAGCAAAATAAATAAATCAATTTAAGAAGAAAAAAAATCGATAAAAAACAATAATGATCGCCTATAATCGCGGGCTTAATTAATTAATCTATAGATGCGCAAATCTACGATTCAGAAGTTGGGGCCACCCAAAAATGACTGGTTACGTCAATATCTTGACCAGCAGACTCATGCATAGACATCCGTTACACTAGATGATACTGGCGATTGGCGTCGATCTGAGGCCTATACGATAAATAACGCGCCCGTTCGTTGGCCATCGCCAATCATGTGGCCTAGATCTCGGCTCGGAGATGGATCGTCCCCCAAAGACCTGCAACGTGCATGCCACGGTTGAACAAGTAACAACGATAAAATACTGCCTCTGCCATCCCTTTGGTTAAGTAAAGGTTATAACCATGTCTTCGAAACAGTTTTATAGTGGAATACAAAAAGCCACTGACATACTAGTCAACAGAGATTTCATTCACCCGTCTTTCTGTTTGGGTCTTTCGCGCCGAGGGAACGTCCTACTACTACTCCGGTGGGGGGAGGTCTGCTGTATACGATACGACCGCGCATACGGCACGATATCCTTTCGGGGAAATAGTCCGATCCTGGGAGGGCCACTGATAACAGCACATAATATGTAGTGCACTGTGATTCATTTCTAATGGTGTGGCCTAAATATTTGTTAGTGCCTATCCTTCCCGACTAAGTGAGCACGCTTGTTGCAGCTACCTATCACCGATCGATCGATCGAAAAGTTATGTGCATCGATGCTCCATGGAGTAAGTAACTTCGAAGGCCAAGTGTCGGCTTGGCTCTTTCCAAGTTCCAGCACACCGTTGTACAGATTTACCCCAACCACTGACGCACTAAAGGATGCTCTCCGGTTCCACCATATTCAATAGTTTACTGCTATTACTAACATTCTCAAACTAGTCTGACTCTAGACCCATTATTGATCAGGAAAGTAAGACCAAGATGCAGGCGCGCGAGGTAAGTTCATGGTAAATGCACTGGCTGGGGTCCCGACCATCACGAAGGGCGATGAATGAAACGAAGAGTGGAGAAAAGAAAGAAAAGAATTTGAAAAAACACAAAATAGAAATTAGTGGTCTGTATACACATGTCGATGAGATAAAGAAATGCAGAGAAGGATTAGAAGAATCAGATATTTATTCCCAAAAGGTTGGAAGGGGAGGGGAAAAAAAAAAGGGATGATGACGATGGTGCCACCCACGAACGGCTACGCCCGAGATCTCGAGCAAGGGAAAGCGGGGAGCGTCGTACCGTACCATGGAACAAGCAACGCAGGCACGGGTAAAATACCGATATGCTGCTTACCAGCCTTTCAAGAGTCTCAACTTTCTGTTTCTCTTCATTCACTCTGCCAATGAGTTTGTTATCCGATCCTCCAGTCCTGTAGCTAAGTGCACCGGCTTTTTCTGACCGATCGTTACTTTTTCAACAAATTCTGTAACCTACGCGCGGGGAATTATCCCATATCACGAGCGTAGGAGATGGAGGGTCAGGGGTAGCAGACGTTAATTCTATGCGGCAGGAAAATCTGGCCACGGCTGCAGCTAAGTTTTGGGCGGTTGTGCTGCCCTGCAATGTGAATGGACAGATCTCCGCCAGTTGCGATCCAACGGTGCATTTTCTTTTGGGCTAGCTGCAGCCAGAGATGGACAGGTATATATTATAAGTGAGTGTGTGAATGGATTTTGCTGATATGCGACTCCCTATCCACACTGTGATTGCTTTCAGATCTCTACCAAATAAAGCAGTAGTATACATGTGGTTGACCCTTTCTGAAACACACAGGCATAGCTATTAGAAGTAGCAGTTCTAGAATCTTACAGCTGCTTGAAGGCGGAGTGTAACACAACAACTGCAATCACCACACTTCATCGTAAAAGGCTCATCTGTGCTCAGGTAGGAACTGCGTCTAATAATTTCAACGAAGACAGTTAATGAAAAGCTGTGGGATGACCTGTCTTTTGGGCATCACCAGCATACCTGGGAGATCGCGACCCGCTAGACTAGAGAAAATGGCTACCGCATCCCAGCCTTATATTTTGCGATCGAATTAGATCTTATCAACGATCGTAAACTTGGGACAATGCTAATGCGGGGAGCCTTACTTGGCGGTTCGCCATGGATCGCAATTTGGGGAGATTTGAGGGAAGGAAAAAAGAAAAGAAAAGAAAGGGTCAGAGACCAAAGAAGAAAAGATACATCATCCCAGATTTTAGCGAAAGCATTAAGTATTGCACACGACCTTGTCAGCATATGATCAGTGCTCATAAAAGCTGCTCTCAACTCCATTTGATACTCCGAAGAGGTCCAATTTTGGAACTATTTCCCTGTTCAGCGACAGGAAAATCCAATCCCGAGTGAGTATTGCCGGCCTGTTTCGATATTTGCATATCTGCGTGTCTGCGAAGTGCCGATCACCTCTTCGTGAGGGTATACTTGAGATCTCTGATGGTAGTCAGCGAAATGCTTAGCACATCAAAGCCATTGTAACCCTAAAGCAAAGCCAAATGGCAAGAATCACAGTAGTGGAAGATGGTTTTATCGTAGGAAAGGAATTGTGGTTAATCCAAAGACAAGCGCCTTCACATATAATACAGAATGGTTGGCGTCTTCATTCGCAAAGTCAAGTCATCTGGAACTTCTTCCTTCAGCCCATAAAATTGCCTGAATGATAATAATACGACATAAGTTGTGGTAATCAAACCCTTCATTAGCATCTAGCCACTGTTCTTGCTAATGACAGGCTTGCTAGACTCCGAGGTCATTTAATTCTCAATATGGTCACCTCTAAAACTACCCTGTTTCAATCCCCTCTATTCCTTCTCAATCCCCATCTAATCTTGATTTCTAGCGAGAAAAGTCCAAGGCTGTTGGCAGCCCTCAGCATAGTGTGCGATCCACTCCAATGGATACGCATCGATGTCTCCTAATTCGGACTAGTACCACATTGATTCGATGAGGGTAGGAATTATTTTTCGCAGGAGTCATGTTAGTATACCTCTAGAAGAGGACTGATTCTGCCGTTTGAGCACGATGTTGTCTACCAGCTTCTTTCCAATGTAACCTCATCGTTGAGTTTAAACCCAATTTGGCCCTGAAGAAGATTTTCTCGCCGAAACAAGTTTCGAGAAAATTTATTCAGTAATTAATCTGTTCAGAAACACCGTGGCTACCACAGGAGAAGGATTCCTTCATTCTCATTCTTATGGTTTATCTCCGCGGTGGTAAAGGCCTGTTTAAGCCTAAAGCGACAGAGATGGCAAGGGAGAGAATACCTCGTCTGTGTAAGTCGGAATAGAGAATGTGAGCTGTGGGAGCAGCGGCAGTTCCTGTGCAGTAAGCAGTTTGAAATACGTAACATGGATGAAATTTTGGTAATAAGTGTATAGGTACATACGCGGTAAGGAAAAGTGGAAACTTGTATTGAGAGGGCGGTTATGTAATTGACGCGGTTTTATTTTTCTTTTTTTTAATTTATTTTTCTGTTATTATATTAAATTTATACTTTTTTCTCCTCCCTCCGCCAAAAGGGAAAAAGGGAAAAAAGAAATTCTCGGGGCCAGGGACACCCCCCTGGTAAGGCTCCATCGCCCCCCACCCAGATATCCGCACATCGCCAATATGATCCCAACCCACTCCACACTTCGTCGAAGATCCGCAGTTCGCAGCCGTAAAGCTTCTGTAATTCGCCGTAACTTTAAAGTGGTCACAACCTCCGGTATGATTCGACGATCTCATAGTCCGTTCTGGCTCCTCCGCCTGCCTGTCTCTCTAATTTTCCAGGTCTGAGCTCATCTGTCCTAGGCCGACGTAGTTTTAGTAGCTCCTGTTTGGATCCTCCCATATCTCGCGTGTGTGCGGGCCTGAGTGTTGGACTTAAGTGGGCTAAGTATAATTATAATTGTCTTTCATATTTGCACGCATTATAACTATTATAATCTTCTGCTGGTGCTGCTCCTCCTTCCCATTGTTGTTCTTCCTCTTATGGTCCCGCCCACCCTGCTGGCTCAACCAACTACTTACTTACCTTACCCACCACCACTCCTACTAAGGTATTTACCTGCCCTTTTCCTCTGCATCTCTTCCCCTCTGAATTCTTGCATTCCAATCAAAAGGGAAGAAAGAAAGATCCTCTCCTTCCCCTGCCCGAGACATCTTCGATCCCATTGTCTTTTCCCTTTTCCCGAATCCGCTTTCCCCCCCCTCTTTGACATTTCACTGCCATCTCCCCCAAATCGTTCCTTCCCTCTTTATTGTCGGGAGGAGATCGTGTTCCTTTCACAACCTACTCACCCTACCATTTACAACCATCTCTTCCTACCACACCCATCCAACTACTCCCGACATCTTGAGTCCTTGCATTTTTTTCTTTCTTTCCCTCCGTTAATTCCTTCCCCCATCTCTTCCCCTCCCCATCTTTTGTCTGTTGTCATAATTATTTATCTGGTACTATTTTTCATTCCTTCCGATCTTGCATTTGTTATTTTTCTTTTGGCGCTCTTCGTTGAGATCGCTAAGGAAATAAAAAAAAAAAAGAAGGCTCTCCAGAGACGGAAAGGAAGAGAAAGAGGACCAACCAACGTCTCCCTTCCCACGCGACGCATTCATCTTCACAATCCCTTGCGTTCACTGCGCCTCCGCCGCTCCCGCGAACTCAAACATTGTCAAATCTATCTCTTGAGTGAACTCAGCACGTATTTCGACTGCCAATCTAGCGATTTGGACTTCCTGTGCAAGGTTTAACCTGGGACCGATGGTTATTCGAAGAGCTGGAAGGGCCGTTCTGATTTGACCTGTTCGCTGCGCGTTGCGGGTGCGTGCCGCACTCTCTTGGTCGCCCACTACAAGAACTCACCCCAACAATTGCGGGCACTTTCCATCGCGATCGCATCGACTTCAGACTACCTGACCTTTTTACGCCACCAGAAGCCCCGGAGCACTTACCAAATATTGTTTTGAAATCGTGTTGCCGCCTTCCGCCGCTTGTTATTTTCTTGGCCGATCCAGCCGATTCTCTCGCTCGAATCTCGCCCGATATCGTCGCTTCCACCCCCCCAACCGCCACCACCCCCAGACAATCTTGGGTGACGAAAGACGTGCCACTGATTCACGTTCCAAGATTTTCTAATCACTGAAATACTATATAAACTCAGTTCATTGGGAAAAATAAATCGAGGCAAACATTCGGCCGCGAAGTCAGCGACTCAACACTCCGCAGCCAATACGTTTAATCTTTCCGCCTTTTGAGTTTCTGGGAGCTCCGTCGCAATCACTGTGAAAGCTCTCACACCTTGCTATTACGGTGCAATCTCACCACCTTATCGGGATAGCACAGACAACACCAATTTATCCGCTGGACGGTGGCGATAGACATTGGATGAGATTGGGAGTAGTTGCTCTGTAAACCCTCGAAACAAGCCGTTGGCGTGATGGGGTCGTTAGAGGCTGAGCACACGCACAGGTATGTTTACCCTGTGGTAGCTTGTCGCAAATAGTCATACGGGGGGCTTACCAACAGAAAATTTGCTAACGATTCTTGTTTGCTTCCTAGGGAACATCTACCAGCTCTGGGATATCTTGGCAAGGACGGACCTAGCTACGCTCCGAAGCACCCCGGTATAGCAACAGCACATACGTCCTCGCCAACACCACTATTGAGTCCAACCACCATGTATACAGGTCAACCCTTACCTGTTTCCTACACTAGTTCGACTGGTTCTGGTCATCTACAAGCTGGATACATATCGCCCCCGGATTCGCGCCGCGCGCTGGAGGAGGAGAAGGACAAACAGCAGCAACAGCCTCAAAGGCAATCGCTCCCATCAATCCATGAGGCTCTAGGGAATGACAACCATCTACCATACCCTGCGCCGACTCCGGCTCCTCCACAGCAAGCTCATCACGCGCCACCTCATTCCTTACCTTCTAACATTGTTGGGCGGCCAGCCACCGAGGGACCTCCAGGGCCGCCAAATCCCTTTTCAAGTGGAGCAGCGACTGGCCCTTTCATGCGGGAACCTGCTTTTCAGCACCAATTGCAAGCAGAAGCCTCAAGGTCAAGCTTGACATCGATCAACACCCAGGATTCAAGGAACGCGTCCTTGCAATCACTAAATTCCGGAAAGTCACCTACTCAAAGTGCGAAGACTGGCATTACTTCGATTTCTGGATCCCAAGTTGGATCTGGCTATGAGTACAGCGCGCCTCCTTCTGCCGGGAGTGTGGCCTCGCCTAATGGTTATGGTGCGTTTTCGCAATCATTCTCATTCCAGCCGCCACCCCCATCAAATGCGGCAACGTATTCAGCTTCTTATGATGCTCGATCCTATGCGGGGACATCATGGAAACCTGGTGTACCAGAGACTGCTCGTGTGGACGATGTAAAACCGAGTCTAGCGACCCGTCCAGCCATCGCGGGGCAACCACAAAGCGATTCTGTTAAACGTCACCTGGAAATTTACGATGTGGAGACGTCTCTGAATGAGGTATGTGATTGTCTACTATGGAACTAAGTGGATCAAAATTGAATCTCCAATTGGTCATTTGATATGAAGTGCCAGATCGCTAATAATACTAGATTGCCGAGATGAGCACCAGAACCTTGGATTTTTCCAGGCACTATGCGGCAAGGGCACACCACACTCAGCGTTCTGGCCCTGTCTTGGGTTCTCTGCCCTCGATCCACGAAGTTGAAGAAATGCTCAACATACAGCGTCGTAATCAGGATGCTTTAATTCGCATACGGACAGCAATCTTGAACCAGGAGCATGCCCTGGCAGAACAGATGGCTCAAAGAAAGGCTTTCAAAGCCGGTGGGGTACATGACGATGTCCACCACATGGCAATGTACCAGGAGGAATACAAGGGCAGTGGCGGGTTTGCTGGCCCTGATTCCAAAAAACGACGAGGGGTACGTCTACTCTGGATTTTTTTTTTCCCCTTGTTCCCCATTCTGTTCTTATTTCCCCCCCTTGGCCCTCGATCCTGTTTACTAAGGGATTACCCCTCGCCCCTCAATTTCTTCACAAGCATACCCACTTCTACTTTTGCCATCGCTAACAGCGGCACTCGTACAGAAAGCCGCCCCTCCCGGTCGTTGCCACAGTTGCAATCGAGCCGAAACACCGGAATGGCGCCGTGGGCCCGACGGTGCCCGGACTTTGTGTAATGCGTGCGGCTTGCATTATGCAAAATTAACTCGGAAGATGGGCGCGAACAAGGCATCATCCTTGGGTTCAAATCTGAAGCCCAAGACTGCCCTGGACTCCGCATCACCGAGTAGCCATTAACTTATTAGCCTGTTCATTTATGTGGCGTTGGAACGGCATGGGACTAGAAGTGTCAGGCGTTTTGAGTCCTGTTTTCACTCTTGATCATTACCTAGTGTTGGCTTCGTTTTGGTCCTCGTTTGATCTGCTTCAAGGTCAAGTTTTTCCTTTCGGATGGTTTGGATGATCACGAAAACTCCGGGCATGCGGACTTGATTTGGTTTGGTCCCATTGGTCCCTTGAATTACCTTCTAATACCCCTTGCACGTTGTGGGAAAAGGTATTCCGATAGACTTTTTTTCTGTTTTTCTCCAGTCTTCTTTTTTTCCCCTTCCTGTTTTCCCTCCTTAACCCACTTCCCCCTCAAACTCCGCCTCATCATATTTTGGTGGCTTTAATCTTTACTCCGTTCCATCATCGTTGTGCAACTGGCTTGTGTGCACTCCGACCCTTTTGAGTTTTTTCTTACGCGCCGCTTGTCTTTGGTATTATGCTACTTGTTGCCTTTGCTCTGGTTTACAATTATACCCCCCGTTTCCTACCAATGTCCTGCTGCTTGCTTGGAAATTGCAATCACCTCCAGATGTGCCTATATGATGTTCATGCACTCATGTCTGTCGTTGAAAATTGAAGAGGGTCTACTGCCTCCGTGTTATGACTAAAGTGTAAAGATAGTTTTTTTCTCTTCACTTCTATAAAAAAATTTACTATATATTCTTACTATAATGACTGATTTGTCATTGAGTGGTGACCTAGTATGCATCTAGTATCTGCTATGAGGTAAAATGAAGCTTCATTCGGTAAGCCGGTCATAAAGTCGAGAAAATACCATGCAGTGCTCCGTACCACGGACTTTTCATTCAATAATGCAGTCAGAGCAGTAGCTATCCACGGGTCCTTAGCCTTAGCCTACACTATTGAGGCGCAAGCGACGAAGAGGCAATAGCGCCTGATTACATGGCTCTCCCACGCCCCGGGATCTAGACGCCAGTACCTTTGGCCACCACTGCCCACGGAGCTGTGGCAATTGTTGGAGCCAGGGGCTAGGCAAGATAAACTCGGGAGTTGCTTCTGTGGCCCTTTCTGTAGCGTACCAACGTGTTCATTCAGGGCGTTCTATAGTTTAACCGGCATGACCCCGATTGGTGATGATCCTGCGCTAGTCACATCTTCGACGCCCTTATGATGCATTTAAGTGGCGTCTATAGGCTTCCATACCTTTTCCCTTCCGTAGATCATATACACAAAGTCCCTTGGATCGGTCATTTTGAATAAAGATCGCTTTGGGGTCACACCTCGGGATATCCGGCTCTACAGTGGAAGGCGGGATCAGTGAACCGAAACTGATTACCAAATTAGGCCTACAAAACATTGATTACTTAAGTTTGCTTTCGGCCGACCCACATGTAACCAATGAGCAGCACGGTCGGGGGAGAACGCGCTGGAGGATTGGAAGCAACCAGAAAGGCCTCCAAGTTCGTACCATGTCTGACTCTGTGGCTCTGGCACATGAGATACGGAGGCGCCTATGCCGAGCTATTGCCTTACTCGCCCGACAACTCTCTGAATAACTTCAGATTCACTAGTGCCATGTTGCCTGGCAATCTCAGTTCAGTGATGGCGAACAGATCATGCCAGGGTTCTGTTTGGATCGATTGCTGTCAGATTATGTGGTACTTGCGCTACCCCGAACGATCGAACCGATCCGATCTCATCTTGTCTCATATCTAGCAGGGGTTCTCGAAAACCAACTACTAACTCTTGAGTCAATTGTTCCTGCAACTACTAAGTAGTAGTACTGTAGCAGCAAAACATTGGTTACCTTCCTGGCCTCGGAATGACGCACCTCATGTGGAAACCTAGACTAGATGTGCTGATTGCACACAGAAGGCGGTGTTTAATGGTTGCTTAAGATCTTATCCTGTACAAACCCCCCCCTTTCTCACCGCCGATTCATCCCCGGCATCCTGCTTACCGCCTCGAACGCCTCTCTCTCTCACCTTCTTGGGAGGTCAGGTGCAACCATTTCCGCGGGCTGGCTTAGATAGGTCTACCCTATAATGACCCGGAGATTGTTTTTGGTATCCGCGTATTTTCTATCGATAGGCTAAATCAGATAGTGTTCAATAGTCTGCATATGGAAGAGTTCACAGAATCTGTCATTCATCCGAGAAACCTCGACCTCCAAAGAAGCACTAGTCATTACGCTTCCCTTTTTGTAGCGACCCCAAGTAGAACTGAATTGAATTGCACCCGCAGATAGTAACTATGATGTCTGCTCAACTACGGACAGATAGTCAATCTAGAGATGCCATCAGTTCTTATTTGAGACCGTCTTCGCCGTGTAACACGGTGATCAATCAGCTGCGCACTATTGCCTTTTTTTTTCCTTCAATAATACTACCGAATACAACCAGACACATTTGGCCGAAGATGCGTATGGAAAATCATACCATGTAGAAAAAGGTCCGTAGGTTGATTTGGAATTAATCTACAGGCCGTGTCTCCACGTCCGACGCGACTCTCCCATTGGCTATTTCTCGATCACGATCATGCCACACATCTATCAAATCTGAGATTAAAGTGGCCCAGACTCCATACCGTTTAAAAGTGCTTCCCTCGGCCGTCGCCGCCGGTGCCCGATAAAGTAAGCCTAATCGATTAATTAATTAGTCGCCACTAACACGCCCAACAGAACCCTTGTTCAAGGTGTCTCACGGACGGGATCTCGGGTGCCAAATTCCACTGCATCTGTGCCCCCGAGATCCGACCGATCGGACGAATCGAGGTTACGTCATGGGAGGCTGAGCGAAAAACTACTCAATCTATGTTAATTTAAATCGAGTCAGGGGAAGAATATTCTCGATTCAACCATGTTCTTTGGAGGGCTCTGAACCTCCGAAGTAACTTATAACTGACTAGTATGTAAGTAGATTAGGCTAAGATGATACTCGATGTCATTTTGGAATTAGTTCCATTAGGAAATCTTGTGTCATGTGCTCCCGCTGCTTCCGAGAGGATCATGCATGGCGCCGCCCTTGATTTGCACAACGTACAGTATGTATAGTATGTAAACCCAAGGTATGTACTATTTCCCCCCTGTATATGTAGTATACTCCGTAAGTAACTCCTTCTATACACAGTGTCTCACTACAGACCCACTGCAACCACTCTGTCGGTACTGCTGGCTGTGAAGGCATCGTCATACCGACCTTCCGTTTCTGTCTCGTTCTGTGTCTGCATGATGCAATCCTTAAGTGCACTATCTACGGATCCTTCCTGTGCATACAAGCTCACTTTCTGACATGAGGTGGTTGCTGTGGTAGCCTCATAGATTGCCTCACAAGTTAGAGTGTCTCGATGGGTCATCTTTGCAGAACTATAATCTGATCCCACAGAACTTTCTGCTACAGTCGCTGAAACTTGTCATCTCGCACACATACACAACATACACACAGAGACAGAGAGGGGACGAAAGAAGGAAAGTCGTCTCTTTTCCACTTCCTCACAAGTTGCGTGTACTCCGATTTGAGCAGCAATCATGCAACTGGGAGGACTTGTGTGTTTCCTTGAGAGACAACCCAAAGTTAGCCCTGATTGGTCTCATGCCAAGCGGGTCTGAAGGGCTTTCTCATAGTAACACGTTGTCCTTGGGCAGTAGCCCGCTACATTCCAGGCTGACACACTTGGCTTTCTTCACACGAAGGCATCAATAATAGACTTCTCCGATTGACACCGAAGCCAGACTTGAAAAAGCAGACCTGCTTGGGCCCTGAGATCGTCGGTTGCAAAAAAAAAAAAAAAAAAAAAAAAAACAATGGCATACATTTCCTCCTTCCATTGATCGGCGATAAGGGCCGATGTCTGGGTCGATCGGGAGATGTCCCTTATCGAGCCCACAGTTCGCGGACTCCCACCCCTTGCCCGCCCACTCTCTTTGGATCTTTGGGCCAGATCGACATATTCCCAGTCGTGCTGGTTCCTGATTGTCACCCAAGATTCTCCTTCGACTTCCGCCGTGTCCCGGTATGGTCCAGCCCATAGCCAGCTAGTTCGGCTTACTCAAGGTCACGAACTACTCAACTGAGTACTAGAACATTCTCATCATCCACGATCGGAATACGTCCCTCAGTGGATCGATGGTCCTGAAGCATCGGAATCTGATAGGTGACAGCGCTATGAGGCGCAAGTAAAGTCCGGAAAGTTTGGTTGGTAGTAGCATCCGGAGTTAACAAATCTTGGGACTGCAGCTTCTCGAACTCCCTTCCTCCTACCCCATACAGCCACCAAAGATACCCACCGTGAGCAAGAGCGTCGTATGCTATTTCGGTGGGCGCTGTGGGCCTGTACTCTGTTAGTCGCGTGCGCCCCAAATCCTCGCAAGCTCTCAAGCCTCACCGATTCTCGTTAGAACTGTTTTTGGCTGTTACTAAGTATTGGTAGTAGGTAATAGTCGGTATCTCGATGCATACGGCCCCTGTATGCGAATACATGCTCGCATACATACATACATCCATACCTGACCCCTGTCCTGCGTATTACATACGCCAGTCTTTGTCTGATTAGGAGGCCCGATGTTATTTATGCTGTGAAACATGACGTCCCCATCACTATCATGTAGGTACGCCCCTACACGGCACGTACTATAGGCATTAGGTCTTTGTTAAAGGTCATTGACACTCCATGATCGGGCATATATCAGAATATGATTCCGCTGTTACACGACAGCAATAGTCAAAATTGACATACGCGGCGTCTTTTTGCACTATGCCTCGGTGTAGTGTTGGAAAAACTTGTTTTTGTTTTGGCAGTGCTCTAGTCTGCATGAGACTTGACTTGAACTGATGTATCCCAAGTAGAACAGTCAGATTAACTAACTATTACATTCCTGCTCCGTGCGTGCATGCATGCATACTGTATGCTCACATGTACACTTGCCATGCAGCAGCGCAACCCTGCGTTAGGTAAATCATGTATGCTGTATGTACTTGAAAGAAACAGATAAGGGTGTATTGAAGCGTTGCTGAGCATGTATGTAACTGACTTTACATGCATCCATCGTTACATACTAGTAGACCTTCATACGTACTTGTATCTGCAGGTTTGCGTGTATCTACTAGTAGTCTCATGCCTCGTGTCAATCGAGGCGTTGGAATGCGATTGGTGGGACGGGGCTTTAAGTTACCAAAGTTACTCTATCCTATCATGACCCAAAAGACACCAAATCTATGGATAAACTAAATCTCACTTAGTTCCTGGAATAGATAAGTGCCAACTCAGCGAGCAGTGCGCCCCTCATACTATTTTTTCTGAGACCACAAGCCATGACTTATGAACACGAGGGGTGGGGGAAGTCAAAAAGCAAAAATAAAAAACAGACCGGGAGGGAGGCCGGAATGCACGGCTGCCTAAGCCAAGCTGCTAGGATGCCTTAGGAAAAGCCTCCTGCAAGTATGCACGTAAGAAGTGCAGACTGAGCGGGTTGTGGGTGGATAACTATAATACCTAGGTCCTTTTTTTTTTTTTTTTTTCCCTTCCCAACTCCCATCTCAAGATTTGAAATTTCAAATGTCTCACTATTCCTCCTGAATGGTTCTTTGCTTCCAGTTGTGGTCCTATAGTTCCCTATTACGTTAAGTCCCCAGTTCTCATACGGATGTTTCTTTTTCTAGGAAGAGCTTTGCAAGGATTTCCCGATTTCCTCCCCCTCTCCCAATGCTATCTTGAAGGTTGTATTACCTAAGTTTAGGTTCCGTCGTATCCTTTCCTCTTACATCGCTATTGTAGCCCGCGGGTCCCGTCCGTTCCTCCCCAACAATCGACAATTCGACCTAGAGACTTTTTTACGCATTGGTTTGCTTTCCCCCATTGTCGAAACCGGGCAGTGCTACGATCTATCGGTTAGCCGCATGGAGCTTTTACCAAATGAGGGATAGAATAAGCGATCCCACGGGATAAGAGGTAACACTCATCTTGGGTTCCCGACTAGCGTGCGATGGTGGCTCGATGGACAAGACATCAGATCTCGACCAAATGGGTTTTCTGCACATAGCCCCACGCGGATAACCCCGCTGACTGGATGGAACAAAGAACCGTAATAGAAGACGCTTGGCCATCTTTAAAATTTAGTTGGGGTACTTGAAGCATGAAGAATTCGCAAGCCAAGCATCACCGCTAGAGGGGAAATGGAAAGAGGGGGATAATTGGAGACAACTAGAAAGAACGAGAAAAATTATATATAAAAAAAAAAAAAAAAAATTTCTTTCCCTTGCCCAGTTTGTAATAGTGAAAATGTTTTTGGTTTATCTCCTAATTTTTGGACAAATCTTCTTTCCCAAACAAGGGAATTTGAATTTGGAATTGGGTTCGCGATCTCATGGTATGTTGTGCTACGGTGCACAAGGGCGCGATGAACCTATGGCCCCACTTTCACCGGGAACAAGACAGTTTAGGGAAAGTTTTTCAAGATCGCGCTGATCGAGATCGCTGCGATGTCTCGGTAGAAGGGGCGGGGTGTAGTTACCGCATTCTTGCAGCGAAGAACAACCTATCTGATTCTTACTTACTACTCACTCACTGCAGCAGGCCCTTTCCCAAGTGGGGGAATATTACAAGACCTTTTCTTTGCTTTTTTTTTCGTTTTCGGTTAAGTTCGTCTGTCGCTCCTTACTTTTTTCAGTTCTAGTGTTCCTTCAATCACTTTTTAAAGAGTTTTAGTTTTTTTAACGTCGCTGAACATACGGAGTATAGCCTACTCACCTTTCGCAGTAATTTTCTCCCGATGTGGGCGGTTTTATAATTGAACATAATACCTTCTGGTATGGTCTGTCTCGTACTGGGCCCTCCTCATCTTAGTCATAGTAAACTATACGTAACGTAACCCACGGTTAAGCGGCCGACACGGTTAGGCGGCCCATCTAGTTATCCCATATAAAAGATGTCTTTTTAAATCTTTCATATCTCAACTACTACTGATTCTTATTAATGATAACTTTATATATAGATAATATACAGCAGAATAAGTAATATAAAATTTTTTTAGTTTCTAAGATTTTTTCTTATACACAATATATCAATATATCCAGAATTACAGATAAATTACAGATTTTGTAATATGATAAGATACTATTCATATTTATAGAAATATTTGAGAAGTATTAGATAGTTATTTGTATAATTTATAATCTATTTATCCAATATTCAGTCTTCTAGTCTTATAATAGTTGAGATATCTTGTGTTTAAAAAGGGTCTTTTATATAGTATTACCAGCTGGGCCGCTTAACCGTGGGTTACGTTTACTAACATGTTATGGTCGCATCTTGTATGAGACTGAACAACTGCCTAAAATGATTTTATTGTGTCTCTATAAGGCAATCACGACCTGGAGCTGTCATTGAGAAGCGAGCACTTGTCATTCAGCCCAGCATGTCCTTGTTTTTTACTCATTCCCCACCCTCAGAGATCGAGAAAAGAAAAAGGCAACGGGCAAGGCAACTGACTAACATATGTACATGACTTCCAGACAGCATCCTATGCACAGGGACCCCTGCTAGCCAAGTTTCGCTTATGCTTATCAAACAGAGAATAGTATAGCGCAACAAGCAGGGGCCGATACAACTCGACCAACACCGGCGGTACATACCCAGGTTGTGGAGTACTGTAGGGAGATCGGAGAGTAGTCCCGATCAGTTTCATCCAAACAATAACCAGATTGAGAAATTTCCATGCAAAAATTATCATATGCATGGAATACATTGGCTGGGATAAAGAACCGAGGCGCTGGGACTTATCCGGTGGCTATCTTATTCATAATTATTAACCGTTGCATTATAATCAGGTATTTAGATACCTGGCTTAGTTTTATGGGGTGTGGACAATATAAAATTTGGCCGAAAAAGGTAATACTACTTGCGCTCATGCCATCATGATTTGGTTGACCTCGATCTCTGATCGATGGAACAACTATCGCGTGCCGCCAGTCGGCGGGCGCGCGCGCGCCCTTGCATTAGCTCGCCTCGCTCATGGCTGGTCCAATCAAGGTATGAGACTGCAAGAATGTGGCTTCTTTATATCTGGGAGTTATTGCACATATATGATTGCATACATGCCCGCCTGTGTGCGCTGTATACTCTACCAGTCATATCGGTTGAGATAGGTAAGATATTGGGGTAAAAGAAGCTCAAGAGTGGTGGCGGCGCAAGGGCGCTCGGACCGAGTCATAAATTAACATTTTTATGTATGGGGTAAGTAGTGCGATATTGTCAAGTTAATTGAAGTGACATCATGACAGCTCCGATAATGCCGATGTGCAATATTATCTATCATTCTGACATGTTGACATCTTATTATCATGTCATGTATTGGGGGTTGAATACACTACGTACTCCGCTTTTCCTTATCATGGTCTGCGTCCTTGCCTGGCGTTTCCTTATGTTGCACAGCAGAGCCTCCTTGCTGCTGCTCCTTGGGCAATTATTGGCTTCGGTTAAATTATGAGGGTTGTCAACGTCAAACAACTGAGATCGTGTCATCGCAGGAATGGTTTAATACCACTATGATGTGTCTGTCGACTCAGAGTAGTAATAGGATGCAATTTTTCTCAATGGCATTTGTCGCGTGCAGCGAGAATGTCAGGTATGAGTAGAAGGTTTGTGGAAGACACCTGGAAGGCGCTTAAAGCAAGCTCGATTATACTTATATGATATTACTTGTAGAGTAGTATATTCCAATGCTAGAAGGTGATAATCAAACAATAACTAGTGTTCCTAACTCTTTCTTGAAGGTAAAGTGAGCAGTTCCCCATCAGTAGCTAACAACCCAACTGCTGCTGTGACTTTCTTGGTGATAATTATGGATTACTGGACGAACGACATTAGTATACGCTTCCATTAGCGAATACAAATTAGGATGTCACTAGTCGAATAAACAATGGCATAATCGTAAAGTTTCATCCATTTCTATACTGGGAAACTGTTATCTGGTTGACAGTTCTTGGATCACATGCGAGCATTACCGCTTTCAGAACACCTCCGATAAGATAAAGGGTATCGCAGTGCCATCACGTGCAGTCGAGCTCCCCTCCTTTGCCAACAACTACTAGTAGTAACACATCAAGTCCCAGTCCATCACCATCATCATCGTCATCATCTTTGTTACATCACTGATTAATGCCAGCTACGAGACATTCACGAATTGAAGCCCACAATACAATAAGAAAATCTAATTAAGCCAGAGCACATTCTGTGGCAAGGGTTCAGTTTACAGTCTACCAACCTGTCACCATCTGCTCCAGATTCTCACACTACTGAGTTGATCTATCTAACCAGTTGTCTGCCTAAAATGGCTCCTCCACTCGTGCCCCTCGCTGAGATTCCGACCGTTTCCCTTCTATACAAACTCAAGCGCTTGGTTCCAGTCTCCTCCCCGCTCGCGCAGCCTTCCAAGGCTTTGAACGACACCATCTCTCTGATCCGCAACGACATCACAAAATTGGATGGGGTCGACTGTATCGTGAATGCAGCCAATAAGTCTCTACTTGGGGGAGGTGGAGTAGATGGTGTCATCCACCGCGCCGCCGGACCTGGTCTGCTGGAGGAATGCCGCACCCTCGATGGCTGTGACACCGGTGATGCCAAGATAACCTCTGCCTATGACCTTCCGTGCAAACGAATCATTCATACAGTTG